CTAAGCATTTGCCTAATTGGAGTATATTTATCTTTATTTAGTATTATTCTCATGCACTTATTTTGTAAAATTTGCAGTCTTTCAAAAATAGTATTATTTGCTAAATACAGAATAGTCGAACAGTACAAGAAATTTGGAAGAATGATGGTATTATAGATAATTTTTCTGCTATATGAACTCAGACATCCAGAGACTCTCGGTAAATATCCCACTTTACTACTAATCTTATTTATAACTTTTTTATAATGAATATCAAAAATTAATCGAGAATCAACAAAAACCCCCAGGTATTTAAAATTTTCTACGAATTTAATATCTTCACCATCAATATTCAGTTGAACATTTGCACATTGTTTTTTTCCGATTAACAAGGCTTTCGTTTTACTTGCATTTAATTTTAGTTAGATGCTAACCATTTTGAGACAAGCTTCAAGTCTTCATTTATATAATAGAATATTAAATTTTTTTTTCAAGTATGACCGACTTATCAACACGGATAATATGTATACAGAATTGAATGTTTGTAAATTAGATAAGCTGTTGGAATTAGAACAATGTAAAATGATTTTCAAAATTTAAAATAACCAACAAAACTGTGATCAAACATTCTGTTTACACATGATGTACATGACTATGAAACAAGATCACATAATAATTTGTACCAGATTCCTACTAGAACCAATATAGGATTAAATAACCCTGTCACTGATGCAGTAAACATTATAATAACCTAAAAAATAACGTAAAAATGTACACGTATTCAGAAATTATGTAAAAACACTCAAAAGTCACTTGAGTTGAATTATCGTAGCTAAAATTCGCACTTTAAATATTGTTGTTCTCGAGGCTAGTGTTTAAACACAGATTAGAAAACCCTGTCTTCTATAAAATTTGTGAAAATTGACTACAGAATAAAGATTTGTTTCCAAAAAAATGAAATCTAACGACTTACTGTCGCACAATTGACACAAAGGAGCACTTAAATAAACGTCAGTATGAGTTGAAGTATCGTTGTAAGCAGTGAGTTAGGTCAATCACAAATATAGCATACGTAAACGCTTTATTTGATATTCATTGATTTAAGCATCAAACAACGTTAACGTTTACGTAAGCCTCTACTATCTACAACAAAGTTGTTCCAATTATTTTTTACACCCTCAAAAAAGTGTAAACAATTGAATTCAGAACTTACCGAATCCTAAGCAAGCCTTGTCGTGTCTCCAAATGTATCCAATAGGTAACATAACACCACAGGCACTACACGATGAAACAATCTAATATCACATTCGAAACCGCCGATGTTTCTTTGTTTGTACACGACGCGCGCGACGTGATGCCTCGGCGAGATCCAAAGATCGACTGAAGACTGAACAGCAGCGGTGCGTGGTGCGCCGGCCGACCGTACCGGAACGCGATTCCGCTCGCGTAGAAGGTGTACGAAGCGCAGGTCGTACTTCCTACATTAGGACGCGTATCCTATTAGATATCGATGCTATAATTCGGTGGATCGCCGTTGAACGCCAGCGGTGGCGAAGCTCCGCCCAACCTGCACCCCACTTTCCGCCTAACATGCGATTGGCAGAGAGAAACGGACATGTGACCGTGACGTAGTCGAGAGCGTTCCGGCACACAACGCACTGCTGCTGATCAGTCGATCTTTGGATCTCGCCGGGGCATCACGTCGCGCGCGTCGGGTACAAACAAAGAAACATCGGCGATTTCGAATGTGATGTTAGATTGTTTGATCGTGTAGTGTGCCGATTTACAGTGATTCTGTGGTGTTATGTTACCTATTGGATACATTAGGAGACACGACAAGGCTTGCTTAGGGTAAGTTTTGAATTCATTTGTTTACACTTAATTAAGGGTGTAAAAAATAATCGGAACAACTTTCTTGTAGATAGTAGAGGTTTACGTAAATTTCAACCTTGTTTGATGCTTAAATCAATGAATATCAAATAAAACGTTTACGTATGCTATATTTGTGATGGACTCAACTCACTGGTTACAACGATACTTCAACTCATCCTGACGTTTATTTAAGTGCCCCTTTATGTCAATTGTGCAACAGTAAGTCGTTAGATTTAATTTTTTTGGAAACAAATCTTTATTCAATAGTCAATTTTCACAAATTTTATAGAAGACAGAGTTTTCTAATCTGTGTTTAAACAATATTTAAAGTGCGAATTTTATATACGATAAATTAAACAATTCAAGTGACTTTTGAGTGTCTTTACATAATTTCTGAATTTATGTACATTTTTGAAGTTATTTGGTAGGTTATTATAATTTTTACTGCATCAGTGACAGGGTTATATAATCCTATCTATGTTCTAGTATCAAGTACAAATTATTATGTGATCTTGTTTCATGTTCATGCACATCATGTGTGAACAGAATGCTTGATTACACTTTTGTTAGTTATTTTAAATTTTGAAAATCATTTTAGATTGTTCTAATTCCAACAGCTTCTCTAATTTACAAACATTCAATTCTGTATACATATTATCCGCATTGGCAAGTCGGTCATACTTGAACAAAATTTTTAATATTCTATTTTGCGAAACCTGTGTTTTTTTTTAAATAATTTATTTAAACACAATAATACAAAATGTATAACCAGTTTTAACAATAATTCCCCAAACACTGTCCCCGAGAATAACAAAACAATAATCAATATCTATGAAGGCAATGTTGCTCATAATTTCAACAAATAAATTCATTAACATTTTTAAAATCTTTCAATTCTCTAACAAAACTTCCATAAATATTTGAATCTATACAATGAGGTAAATTATTAAATTTCTTAATTGCGTCTGTGATTGGATTTTTTAAACCTATATTAGTTCTTGTGGAAATTTGATAAACATTATTTAGTGATCTTGTCTGGTGATCATGCACGTTATGGTAGAACCTAATATTTATGTTACTTTTGAGTAGATTATTTATAATTTTATAAACAAGTTCACATTGTTCCACCTCCAATAACACTCTTTATTTGTTTAAATTTAAATTTGAATGAAGTGTATTAGAACTTGTAAGCCAATCAAAATTTAACAATATTTTCAGAATTTTATTTTGTAAAACTTGAGCTTTATTAAAATTAACTTCACCGCACATACCCCATACTGACAAGAGGCACCTAAAATGTGTGAGAAAGAAGGCATTATAAATTTGAAATTTGCTTTTGTTGGACAAATAATATCTACTCTTATATAAGGCAGATAGCATTGAAACTATTTTATCACAAATTCCATTTAAGTGAAGTGACCAATTTAAACTTTCATCTATTAGTAATCCCAAATATTTAATACTTGACACTTTTTCTAGCGCATATATTATTTATGTTAATATTTAGATTATTGCTAACTATCTTATTTTTTTGTTTAAATATAATGTATTTTGTTTTATCAATGTTAATTTTTAATCTATTCGAAAACAGCCATTTAAGATAACTATTCAGGTCATCATTAATAAGATTCGTTAAAGCAATTTCGTCTGTTCCAGTATATACCAGTACAGTGTCATCTGCAAAGGTAAAATATCGTCCCCTCAGATAGGCCAACTTGATATTCAGTACATAAAGGATGTATAACAGAAGTCCAAGAACTGACCCCTGTGGTACTCCATAGGTGCTAGATAACCATTCACTATCAATGTCTCCAAGCTTTATGTACTGTTTTCTGTCATATAAATAAGACTTAATCAAGCTGTACGAAACACCTCTAAATCCCATTTTAAACAATTTATCCAAAATGATGTCTATGCTTACTACGTCAAAAGCTTTTTTTAGGTCAATGAAAACAGCTACAACTATTTGTTGTTCATCTAGAGCCATAAAATCAACAACCGCCAAAACTTGGTTAACACTGTGCCCCAAAGAATTTCAGCCGTAATAAAAAATAAAGGTGATGTTACCCAATGGTAATCTTTCAATTGTTGCTTTGTTAACTCCGCGCATTTATTCGCACATTGTTTATTTGTTCAGAAGTTCTTTCAGTTATAGGTCTAAGTGATTTCAAATATGTATTTTTTACGACTAGAGTGTTTCTAAAATGTTTTTGAGAAAATAAATTGTTTTAGAAGTAAATAGTTTCGTCATGTTTGGTTTATAAAGGCATATTTTGGTACAAATCTTGAAGTGGGGAGTGGGTCTCGTATACAGTGGCTTTTACCCAACCAAACGAAGAAAAAATATAAAAAATGTTTTTCCACAAATCTGTAAAAAATCTCGGTTATGTAGGATATAACAAGGTAGAATAAGTATTTTTTCAAAACACAATCACGCCAATAAAAAAACATTTTCGAAAAAACACGTTTTTGAGGATAGCACCTCTAGGGGCGATCCAACGATCTAAAAATTTGGCTAAGGTGATTCATTTGAATCTATCCAGTTTTGGATACCTTTGGATGCAATTTCACCAAAAGCATTTATTACATACACATATTATTCAAACGTATAAAAGTTACTTGAGGTCTACGATAACCGTTCTCAATAAGGATAGCGATATATTCTGGTTTGAAATTATTATCTAGTGGTACGGTGAAACGAATAAAAAATATAATTTTCCTATGTAACAAAAGCATAAGCATCTATAATGGCATTAAGATTAAATTAATTTAATTACGGAAGTACTCGCTCAGAGTCACCAAAAAACTGCTATCAGTCGGAGGATACCGTTTGTTTTTCGTACCAAATGCAAAATCATCTTTGTCCTCCGATCATTGAAAATTCCATTGTTCTCACCATCGACCAATTCCCGTTTTAGGCCAATTTTGAAAAAATGGCTTACAGCTTTCTTTGTGTAAAAATGTGTAGGAAATCGTGGTTGTTCAAAAATGCCATTTAGAAAATTATAGTTCGTTGCCAAAAAAAATCAACTTCGGACATAGATACCTACTCCACGGGCGCTTTAAGACGAAAATGTGGTTTCTTACTCAATTGTGGCTTAGGTACCTTATTGCCCCAAGCCCTTCAATTTTCATAAGAAACCACCTACCTGGAACATCAATTCTCCTCCTCCGACGCTGAACTGCGACTGGAAAAGCAACGAAAACTTTTCATCCATGACACTTTCGGTGCCTTTCTTCTCGGCCCTTTTGATTTTTTTCAACTGCATATTCCGGAAGCTAACCGATAATTGTCTCGTCGCCTGCTGGTATTCCATTGTACCTGAAATTAAGTAATGACATTTGACATATAATAGAGTCAGAACAGGCCTGCTGTAACATTTCAGATGATTTATTACCGACAAACTATTGATTGACATGTTGCTTTAAAAGATACCCCAATACAATAAAAAACGTTTTGCGAAAAAATCACAACCAACCACAACTACAGTAGCTGACAAAAGTTTGGAAACAAATATCAACTTATTATAAACTATTTCATGTACCTAAATTATAAGTGTTCAGGAACAGATAATATTTTTTACGTTTTTTGAAGAAAAATGCGAAGAAATGTGGAATTTTAGAAACAATATAATACTTTTAGGTGATTTTAATTTAAATTATTATGGTAAAAGCATGAAAACAAGAAAATTGAAAGAAACCATAAACAACTATGGGTTCAAGCAAAAAATTGAAGAGAGTACCAGAATAACATCATTATCAGAGACTTTGTTAGATCTTGTTATTGTAAATTTCGAATGTGCAGGGATTAAAGCTGTAAATACACGTAAAGTTAGCGATCACAGTTGGACAATGCTGCCCTTGGTAGGGCATTTTTCTGATACAAAAATTAAGAAAATCGTAAATACTATTAAGTACGAAAAACTTGAACGAGAACTTGCTGGCTGCTATTGGAATTTTGGTGAGAATATGGAAAAAATATATGACAACATAATAGGAAATATAAAAACTTGTTTAGATCTTGCAACTGATAAAAAAGTAATTTGCTCGACAAAAAATACACCCTGGTATAACAAGAATATTAAAGCAGCTCAAAATTTGAGAGACAAACAATACAATAAATATATATTCACAAAATCAAATGATGATTGGGAGGTATATAAAACTCTTAGCAATAAATGTGTATATGTAATTAGAGAAGGAAAAAGGAAATTGTACGATAAACAAATCGATAATAACAAGTGCGACAGTGTAAAGATGTAGAAGACTTTAAAAAGACTGATCAATTCGAAGCCGTATGATTGTGTAAATCAAGTTCAATTCGAAAACGGTACCGAAACGAATTCTTTGGTGATTGCAAACAAACTAAATGAATATTTTGTGGAAAGTATTGTTGATATCGTGGGTACTGCCAATGCTGCACCTGACTATATGAAAATCAGTTTCCAGGGGGAAATGTTGCATACACTTTCAAAATTTCACAGCGTATCATTGGATTATCTAAGAAAAAAAGTAAACAGTTTAAAATCAAATAACAACTGTGCCAAAATCACTACTAAAACGTGCTGAAAAACTGTTTCGAAATTTTGGGATATCCTGTATTAAATTGGATCAATTGTTCACTGAGAAGCAGTTCTTTTCCTGAAAATTTGAAATGCTCTACAATAACTCCAGTTCCAAAAATAAAAAATTCTAAAAGATGCAGCGATATGAAACCAGTAAATGTGTTACCAGACATTGAAAAATTATTAGAGTTCATAGTGCATGACCAATTAATGCAGTTTATAGAAGAAAAAAAAATTTTAGTGGAGGCGCAAGCAGGCTTTTGAAAAAAATATTCCACAGAAACGGCTTTCCAGTTGGTAACTGAGAATTGGAGAAGAGCCATAGACTCAGAAGAAGTTGTCATAGCAGTATTTTTGGATTTGAAGAGGGCATTGGAAACGATTGAAAGAGATATTTTGTTAGGTAAATTGAAGGCATATGGTATAACAGGAAGTGTTTTAGATTGGTTTAGAAATTATTTGTCTAAAAGGATGCAAGTTACAAAAGTTAATGACACTATTTCATCAAAAATTGAAAATACGTTGGGTGTTCCACAGGGCAGTATCCTGGGACCACTTCTTTTTATTTTATACATAAATGATTTACCTGCCATAGTCAAAAAATGCAAAATTCAAATTTTCGCCGATGACACTATGATTTACATAAGTACTAAAAATATTCAGTCTGGTATCTCTTATATAAATGAAGACTTGAAACTTGTCTCAAAATGGTTAGCATCTCACAGACTAAAATTAAATGCAAGTAATAAGTCTCGTTCCTATCGCCGCCAAAATAGCTGAAAGAATCATATTAGATAAGCTCCTGTCATTTGCTTTCGAAAATGACCTTATCCCTAAGAATCAGCATGGATTTCTCCCTGGTCGATCAATAATGACCACCCTTCTCCACTCTCTCAACGATTGGACTCAGTATCTGGACACAAAGACTCCTGTTGATATAATCTACTTAGATTTTTCTAGGGCTTTCGATCGCGTACCACATAGAAGGCTTCTGTTTAAGCTGGAATGTATGGGAATAAGAGGCGAGTTGTTACTGTGGATTAAGGCTTTTCTCACCGGGAGGACTTTCTCTGTGCGCGTCACTGATAGCCAGTCTCACCTTCATCATGTAGCAAGTGGAGTTCCTCAAGGCTCTGTCTTGGGGCCAGTGCTGTTCCTTCTGTATACAAGTGACCTGTCCGCATTGATTTCCTCCACATGTTCAGCTTATGCCGACGACACCAAGATTTACAATACTGTCGTAAATTCTGCTATGCTTCAACGAGATCTTGATATTGTTTGTCAATGGTCAGTCAGTTGGCTTTTACCGTTAAATCTAACTAAGTGTTGTGTCCTTCACCTCGGGAAGACAAATCCGCGATTTACATACAAGATCTCTGACCACAACATCGAAGCAGTTTCCAGCCACACTGATCTGGGCGTTGTAGTCAACGATCGTCTTTCCTGGTCAGAGCATATTCACCACGTTACATCAAAAGCCAAGAAACTTCTATACATGCTGGAGAGGTCTTTCAAAGGATCCGATGTCAACACTTGAGCCTACATTTACAAGGCATTCGTGAGGCCAATTCTTGAATTCGCTGGCCCGGTATGGGACACTGTGCTTCTGCGCGATAGAAATCTCGTCGAATCAGTACAGCGTCGGGCTACTCGTATCCCTTTTGGAGCACGAAGACCAAGCTATGAAGATCGCCTTGAATTATTCAACCTGACCTCATTCTCTGAGCGAAAACTTCGTGGCGATCTTATAGTTACGTTCAGGATACTTCATGGTTTGATGGGCACCAACCTCATGCATCTATACCGTCTGTCGCGCAGCAATCTACGCGGACACAGCTTCAAACTGCATAAGGAGCCATTTAAAACAACAGTCCGACAGTGGTTTCTTCCCAACCGCATATTCAACACCTGGAATAGTTTACCTGAAAGTGTGGTTGGTGCTACTTCAGTTAATAGCTTCAAAGTGCAGTATGATAGCTGGAGGAGTGTACAAACTTTATAGCTATGAACTGTCTTTTTTTATTTTTTTCTATTTGATGTATTTGTGTTACGTGTCCGTACACTATATTTACTGCATGAGCTTATAGTACTGTGTACTCTGCTCATCTCAATTATCATAGTAATAATAATAATAATAATAATAATAATAATATACCATGGTTAATTTATGTAATAAAGCGTTACAAGTTATTTTAGCAAGAAAGTTTGGTCAAATCAATCGCAAACTATACTAAATTCCTATTTAAAATAAGTACGAGATATTTCCTTATCTTTCTTCGAAAAATAACTGTTTTGCCACAAAAAAAAACGCTCCAATAGCTATTTTCAACAACAAAATGATGAACAAACCATGGGCGTAGTGAAGAAAAGCATTTACTTATTAAGTAATAATTCTTTTAGTCAAATTTCTTCTGAAAGTAGTACAAACTAATCTGTGTGTACCTATTAAAGTCTACTTTAAGCTTTAAATCAATAAATCTTCAAAACTACTGAACTGAAGTACATTAATTTTATATCATTATAAAGGGAATTGAAAGACGTTTCAAATAAGGTATCACTCGACCCCCCTTTCCATTTAAGATTTTAGGGTTGGTGTCACCCCCGCCCAGGGGGCTGCACGTGTTAACGTGATTTTTTGCCAAACATGTATCCCCCTCGAAAACAAATTCGACGGGTCTGAGCGTTTAAAAAAAAATTAGCTGCCAGTAAATGCGTCTGTTTGGTTTCGTATAAGGAATTGCTGTCATGAACATATTAGTAAAGATGCGAATTTTACGCGAATATCCAAATATAGCATAAGACGAACACACACAATTGATAATAACCTGTACCTGTGTTATTGAGAATTTCTCCTGAACATTCTCCGGCCTTGCCCAGTTTCTCGTTCTTGATCAGCATATTGGCCTGAGCTTCGGAGATGATCGTCACTTTGACCTGGGGCGGAGTCATGTGAACGTTCAGCTTGCCGCCTACCAGTAGGCGGACTGTCGCCGTAAAACGCGTGTTCGTTTTCATCACCTAGTAGGGATAGAGACAAATCAAAAAGTGGCGGGAGTGTCAAAGCAGATTGCACGTCTGAAAAATGGCGGTTATGGAGAAAAATAGCTGAAAAATGAACGTTTCCAATGGTGCATTCGTTTTTTCGAACAAAAAGTTGTGCTTTAAAAAAGTGTGGAAACCACATTTTTTAAACAGCCCTCGTATAACCTTGATTTTAATAATTTCAAAAAGTAAATTTTTTCCCATTTATTATTATTATTATTAAATTAAACAAATTATCTCTGATACATAAATCTGAATTAATAATAATAATAATATTTATTCACTCAATGTACAAAGATAACAAACAATATGAGTAAATAAATATAAAATCAAAACAAGCCCAATAGAAGGCATCGCCTGTACATGGACCAATAAAAAAGGACAAAAATTAGCTACAGTAGATTATGTATTTAGTTAATGTTCGTATTTATGAGTTTATGAATTTCAGTCCTAGATATAGAATGTAGCCACTTTTTTAAATTTCTTTTGAAACAATTTCCGAAACGTAAATCTTTTAAGTCTTTAGGTATAATTTCATAAAATTTAGGCGCTAAATAGAGATATGATCGCTGCATTATAGATTTATGCGGTTGAGGAACTACTGTGCCACGAATTTTGTACCTGGTATAATGATTATGTTTAATTTTTTGGTCGGTGTTTACAAATTTATGGTAGTGAGTGATACTGTGTAAGAAATAAAGCTGTCTTATATCATACATTCGAACATCTGCATATAATTTTTCAGTGGGATAAAGTTTCGGTTTTCTAAATATCATTTTTAGAATTCTTTTTTGAAAAACATCTAAATTATAGATATGTGAGGAACATGCAGCTCCCCATGCTAATATACCATATGTGAGATGAGGCTCAATCAGTGCATGGTATAATGTTCGAAGATATTTTTCTGTCAATATATTCCCAAGGTATTTAATTTTGTAGGATACAAATCTAACTTTCTTTAAAATATAATTGACATGGATGTCCCATCGTAAGTGAGGATCCAAGACCACTCCAAGGTATTTTATGTTGGGCACTCTATTAATTTGCATTTTTTGATCATTAATATTGAAGGAGAAATTTGTGTAATTTGGCAGATGTCTAGCATAAGATCCAAATTAAATCTCAGTAGTTCATCTATATTTCTCCATACGAGGTTTGTCGGGAAAATACGTATAAAAGTGGACTATACTATAACTATCTAAAACTGTAATGACTCATCGATGTTCACGTGAACATCACTTAACTACCAGTAGTCGGCTGTTCATAGGCGGGGTATGAATGTTTAACATGGGTGAACTAGATTTGTCACATGCTTAATAAAGAGTGGTTTGAAACATATTGTAAGTCAAACATTTGGGAATTACCTTTATTCATCGTCGCTTCCACTTACATCTGACAGTAATAAACTGTCGCTATCGCTTTCCTCGTTGAAATTGACTATAACTGGCTCTATGATGGTGTCGATGTGGTGGTCAAGCTGCCACATTTTTGTTTCTTCCTTCACAACATGACGGATAGCATTCTGCCAAGCTTCGGGCGTTACTAGCTGTATGGAAGTCTCAAGTAAAACCTTAGAGTCTGGTAATTTGAAGGTTGTGTTATGGCGCGCAATATAACCCTTCACTTGAGCCCAGATGAGCTCTATTGGGTTCAGTTCACAGTGGTAGGGCGGTAACCGCAGCACAGTGACACCACATTGACGGGCCATCTCATCAGTCACGTAACTAATATTCCCAGGTTTGTGCTGTTTAATTTTTTCATACAATTCCGCTTTCACACATGAATCGTCAAACGGGATTCCTTTTTCGCGCAACCATTGCTGCATGTCACTTTTTCGAGATCCCATAGTCGGCACACGTTCGGCTCGACGACTATGGTAGGAAGCATTATCCATGACGATCACAGAGTTGGGCTCAACTCGCTGCAGCACCCCTTGAAACCAGCTCTTGAAGCAGCTGGCATTCATTTCGTCATGGTAATCACCTCCTTTCTTAGAGACGAAAATCAAGTCACACTCTTCTAAAAAGCCACTATCGCTACCAATATGAGTTACGATCAATCTTTGACGGTCCACGAAGACCTGTTGACAAACCTTCAATGCTTGCTTGTCGGTTACTCACTACGTTTTTGCCTATCCAGGTTTTTTTAACTGTGTGACCTGCATTTACCCATGTCTCGTCCAAATAATAGATTTTTCTGCTTTGTCGCCTATATTCAATCATTTCGCGTAGGTATTTTCGACGCCAGGCGACTATTTCAGGTCTCTCTATCAATACTGACTTCCGATTACGCGTTTCGTAACGAAAATTAATTTCGTGCAGGGATTTCCTCATTACCTCGACGCTCATTTGGGGTATAATTTCATTTTCCTTGATCGCTGCATGTACAGCCTTGAGGGTTGGTATCTCATTCCTAAAGAAGAATGAATGTACGGTTCGCCTTAACGCCATTTTGCTATCGTCATCCAATTTAACGGCCTTTCGTCCCTTCAAATTAAACTTTGGATCAGTAGTAGCTCCAGTTTTCTTCTTTTCATGCACCAACCTGCGAATGGTCCACTCTGGAACGCCTGTCATACTTTCACAAGTCGCGAGTGCATCTCCCTGCGACATAGTTCTGTTCAGATAATTGAACACGTTGAGCACGATTTCTTTCGCGTCCCTCTTCAGTGCTTTACGAAGCCGTCTACTTGTTCCTGGCTTTCAGTACTTCCACTCGTGCCATTTGTACTCTCCATGGTTAAGTATAACCAAAACAGAAACCACAACAATAACAATCACACAACAATTCTTATAAAAACACACAATCGCTCAACGAAACACGTTCCAATGCGTTGCCGACGCCTATGAGTCTGCCGGTTTTAAAATATTTAAAGGAAAAGTAAAAGTAACAAAAAAAAACGTCACCTGTGGGGGCTGTTTTTCAATGATAAACGTCGACGTCACCAATGAAGACAACAGCTGCGTGACTTCTTGTAGGAGCTGAGGCAGCACGTGGTGTTCCCCAGGAGGATCAAGAGGAAGTTTCTGCTTCAACCTCTCCACCTATTAAGAAAGAACTTATCTGAAACTTTTCACATTCTTTTGTTTATTTACGATTTATTTAGCATGATTTACAATTACATTCTTCTAAAAAACTAAACAATTACATAACATACAGATATTCAGAAAAATTTGCATCTCTAAGAATTTTCATTGTCCATGAAACATTCCTTTAATTTTCTTTAAATTACAAGTATACTTTATATCATTATTTAGTTTATTAAATTCAAGTAATCCTTTCTGAAATATTGATTAGCTAGTTTACTATTGCAATTTTGTAAATGAAAATCTATATTTCCTCTTGTATATTGGGCATTGATCCACATTGGACTCTGCCATTTTAATAATTTAAAATAAACGATCAATACACATATAATTGTATAGGAAATATTGGCAGTATCGGATTGGAGGTGCGACATAGTAATACAAAAAAAATAGTACCTCTTTTATCTGCTGCCGATTCAACCATATCAACTCAGCCAAACTCTCGCACCACTCCTGGATCGTGTCCAAGTTGCTGTTGAAGTTTGCACCATTGCCAGCCAGCTGCTGTTCTCTCTTCCACCTAGAAGAATTAAGATTATGCGGGTGTTTCCTAACTTGTGGCACGCCACACTATGTACACAATCGAAGGCCTTAGTCAGATCAAAAAAACTGCTCAACGGTAAGTAAACACGTTATACCTGATCAACTCCTCGTCGAGCACCAACATCTGCAGCTGAGAAAGCAGCTGGACCGTCTCCTTCAGTTTTTCCGCCAACGCCAGACGGAGATTCATCAATCCGGCCACTTTCTGGTTGAGCACCTGTTCGAGCATCTCCTTTTGGCGCTGCAGTTTCTGAGTGTGCGCAGTGATTGGCACGTTGGGTTGCGTCGCACCGGATGACAGATGAGCTGTACATGTTTTTAGATTGAGTCATAAACGATTGTTATAAAGGAGTATTCAAGTTTTCCAATATTTCATTTTGTGTTCACATTCTCAAATACAAACGATACAATAAAAGTTTTACAAAATGACTTAACAAACAGCGTAAAGTGCCGGCTATGGCAACGTGGTCACGTAGTGAGATAAGGGCAGTTTTATAACCATAAGCTTAGGTAGTTCAAGCATAGATCAGTACTTAGAAGAAATGACGCTTGCATTAAAGACTGATTGTCTCAAGCATTTCTGTACCCAAGAATCCTTCAATGTTAAACGGACTTGATCTGACATTTTCCTTGCTGAAAATGTTTGTTATACATACCATGAGTTCCGGGACTTTAAATTTTGATATGTGCTATATCTGTTATTGCTTTTTGAATTGTTGTCATTATTTCTTTTGTACCTTTTTATACCCACATTTAAATTTTGACATAATTATTATATATGTATATATATATTTAACTTGAGACGTGGTCATTGTCGTCTAGACCAGTTAGGTGAAAAATAAAGCTGCCGCGTATAGTGGGTACTTCGACAAAATTGAAACAATGCGGACTCTTTATACTTTACTAGCTTTCAATGGACTTTGCCATCATCATCAGGAGCTGCAATAACATTAAGAAGTAGCAACTATTGTGCAAAAGGACTTAAAATTACTTACAATAGTATGTGAGCTTTGATATTTAATAACATTTAGCAACAATCTTTCATATATATATATATATGTATATATATAGGTGAAAAATTAAAGCTTCCGCCTTTTGTTGGGTACTTCGACAAAATTTAAGCAAAGAGGACTCTTTATACTTTTTTAATTCTCTCTAGCTTTCAATGGACTTTGCCATCATCATCAGGAGCTGCACTTACAATGATAACAGTAGCAACAAAAGTGTAAAATGAATTTAAATTGACTCAACTTACAGTAGTATGTGAGGATGTTGCTAATTGTTGTTTACGTATAGGATGAGGAAAACGTCCAGTAACATGGTGAGAGCTGGATAGATGGTACAATGGTCAAAATTATATAAAATATGACAAGAACAAGTTACTGTAAGTTGAGTCAATTTAAATTCACTTTACACTTTTGTTGCTACTGTTATCATTGTAATTGCAGCTCCTGATGATGATGGCAAAGTCCATTGAAAGCTAGAGAGAATTAAAAATGTATAAAGAGTCCCCTTTGCTTAAATTTTGTCGAAGTACCCAACAAAAGGCGGAAGCTTTAATTTTTCACCTAACTGGTCTAGACGACAATGACCACGTCTCAATATATATATATATATATATATTATATATATATATATATTATATATTGAAGGGGTTGAAATAGAGGGTAAAAGTTACTATGGAGAATTTATTATTTTTTTTAAGCTAGACAAACTGATATGAGTTTCATATGCTCGGTTTTTTGATACAGTGTAAATGGGCACTTACAAAAAATTTATAAATATAAATAAAGGGATAAAGTGGGAATTTACACTTTTCAAGTGTTTGTAAAGAATTTAGAATATTTTAAATTATTCGAGCCTAAAAGTGGGGGTATGTTTATCGTTTACTTACAAAATTGCATCGCTATAGATTTGAAGGATCTGTATTCGAAATTCTAAAAAAACTACTTAGTTGACAAAAGTCAAAAAAACTAAAATTGGATGTACATTATCAAGCTCAAAACATATTTTTTATTATAATTATAATTAATTATTATTTATATATTATTTTAAAATATTATAAAATTCAGATAGTTCCAGATGATACATTAATATGCATATTGGATAAAAATATGGACACTGCTTTAAATATGCTGAATTCTAAATCATAAATGTAAAAAAAGTGAATGATTCTAGAACAAAATGTATGTTAATAGGGAAAGACTTAAACGAAAATAATTAGGATAAATATATAAATAGTTGGTATAAATATTAATAGTAAACAAAATTTTGAGGAACACTATAATACATTATATCAAAAATTACAAAAAATACTTTTATGGGGCTTTTCTCAGTCTTTGTACACATTCCAAAAAGAAATTTCATAATACAATTATTCTACCACATTTACTTTAAAGTTAAATAAAAATTAGAACACAAAAAATCTTTTTAGAAAAATTGCAGTTGTATATTAAAAATTATACTAAGTGACATATAAATCCGAACACCCAGTTTAAATGGTTTTATTTTAATAAAAGTTGGTGTGGATGTATTTATCTTACTGTAAATAACAAGTGAAAAAATGTTCAGCCTTATCAGTTGGACATTCCGGTTTTTATACTGCTTTTTTTAATTCACTAACGCTCTAAAAATGGATATTTCAGCCGCCGTAAAGAATCAACGTTGGCGGATTTTGGTTCTTGACATCCTTTACGATCGGTTACGATGCCTAGAGTACGGAGACCTGTACGATTTCGTCAACTTAGTGAGTTTGATAGGGGCCGTATAATGGGACTTCGGGAAGCTGGACTGTCTTTTCGGGCAATTGCAGTTAGAGTGCAAAGAAGTGTAGACACTGTTTTTAGGTGTTGTCAGGCATGGCTTCGAGAAGGCCGTACGCAAAGAGCAAGGGGCACTGGACGCCGCCGTAGAACAACAGACCATGAAGATCGCCGCCTAAGATTATTGGCCTTAAGGGACCGTTTCTCCACTACCAGGTCCATTGCAAATGAATGGTTTGCAGAACACGGAAGACCTATTGGCATGCGAAGTGTTTACCGACGAATGAGAAGTTTTGGCTTGTTTTCATACCGGCCACACTGGGTCCTCCCTTTAACTCGAGAACACCGACGTAATCGCCTTGAGTGGTGCAGACAACGGTCACTCTAGGATCAGGAATGGAACAGTATTGTCTTTAGTGACGAGTCTCGATTTTGTTTAGGCATGCACGATGGTCGTGCCAGGGTTAGAAGGCGACGTGGTGAAAGGAGGAATCCACAGTTTTTTGTTGAAAGACATGTTCATCACACTGTTGGAGTTATGGTGTGGGGTGCTATAGCTTATGGTTCCAGGTCACCTTTAATCTTCATCAGAGGTAACATGAACGCGCAGCGTTATATCCACGAAGTTCTAGAACCCCATGTTTTACCCTATCTTGACACCCTGGCAGATCCAACTTTCCAACAAGATAATGCCCGACCACATGTTGCAAGAGTCACAATAGACTTCTTTCAACATAATGATGTCACATTGTTACCATGGCCACCAAGATCTCCGGACTTACCCCCAATTGAGCACGTGTGGGATATGATGGGTAGGAGATTGCTCAATTTGCAACGTCCTCCTCAGACTCTAGAAGCACTTCGAGAGGAGTTGGTGGTTGCCTGGAATAAGATACCACAGGAGGACATTGACCACCTGATCAGAAGCATGCCTAGGCGCGTTGGAGAATGCGTAGCACATCAGGGTGCATCCACACATTATTAAAGGTCAAAGGCCTTTAAAGCAGTGCAATCATTTTGAAATTTTTATCATTTACTTATTATGCTACATTAAGTACTTATACAAAATTTTATTAAAATAAAACCATTTAAACTGGGTGTTCGGATTTATATGTCACTTAGTATATATCATATTTGGTTCATATTTTTAAATTTAAAATAATACATATTTTGCCCCAACATTTACAATATTGGATAGAATTGTATAATCATTACCGCAATTATTATACAAGAGGAAGTATAGATTTCCATTTACAAAATTGCAATAGTAATGTATCTAGCAAATCAATACATATTTCAGAAGGGATTACTTGAATTTGATAAACTAAATAATGATATAAAGTCTACTATTTAAAGAAACATTTCATGGACGGTGAAAATTCTTAAAATGTTTTTCAAAATATTTGTATGTTATCTAATTGTTGTAGTTTTTAGAAGAATGTAATTGTAGCAATCATGCTAAAAACAAACAAACAAGAGTTTCAGAAATTATATTCTCATATTATGAATATACAGGGTGTTTCAGAACTAAGGGATCAAACTTCTAGGGGTTAAGCAGTTAAAATGAATGACTCAACCTGTATATAGAAAAGACGCGATACACATTAATCACGAAATCTCTTAAACCGTTTAATCTAGGAACATGAGACTTGGTAGAGAGCTAGTTCATGCAGAAGGAATGCCAGGTAAAAACAGGGCTAGGTTCAGGCGGCTAAGGGCAGATATATATGAAGCTGGAAAGATACGCATTAATCTCTGAAATTATTTGAACTGCAATCATGAATTTTGGCGGGGAGGTAGTCTATGAGCAGCACATTTCAGCTGAGAAGGGATTTTATGACGGTACCTAAAGATTGACAAGGATGAGGTTCTTAAACTAAGAATAGATCGGGTAACCGGAAAATAACTAAATGGATCAAGTCAGTCAAATCGGGCCATACAATCGGCACCTAGACATTCTCTGCCTGCCCTACCGGTTGCTACTGCCCATCCGGCCACGGCGTCCCGGTCCACGTCTTCGCGGCAGTGCCCACCGCGACATCGCTGCAGCGCGTTATCGCCGTTCATTTCGTGCATGGTCCGTTGCGCTGCAATATGGATAGATTAGTCAGCCGGACCGATTCGCTGGACATTGATTCGTTGAAGAAACTGGATCTGTGTCTAATATTCGCCGTAATCGCCATAGAGAAAATCGACCAGATTGAAATGAAGCCGCGAAAACGGCAGTTTCGGGACACGTAGCACTTGACGACCCCGAAGCACTCGTGGACTGGCTACTTCTTCAGGATTTTCAGTACAAAGAACTTTGAAAGACGATAAATTTCGCCCGTACAAGATAAAACTTGTCCATGAGCTTAATGAAGACGATTTTGATAGAAGGTTGGAGTTTTGCGAATGAATGTCCCAACGTTTATTTACATGATGCTGTTGATATTGGAGTGCAATATCCTGAAAAAGTAAATGTGTGTATGGTGTATCTGAAGTCACTTGAAATAGCATAAAAACCTTTGGTCGGCGCGTCCTTTGTAATTTCATGACGTATCATAGGCGTGCGGCATTTATTTAGAACGATAATAATAATTTTTTTATATCACAATAAATGGATTTTACTATCTTCTTATTTTTTTGATTTGGGATAAAAAATACTTATATTGGGAGTTTAATTTATGTTGACTGAAAGTTAAGAAATGGAAAAATTACAGAATTCCAACGTTTGACATAGGCAAATATTTACATAGCAGGTAGGTATATAAAAAGGTATCTATACAGGGTGACTTTGAAGTTGAGTCATTAATTTTCAGATAATGATTGTAGAAGGAAGATAAACCAGAATATGTGTGTAAAAATAAAAAAAAATTAAAAAAAAAATTTTACCTTGTTTTATAAAGTATCCTCCCGACAAGTATTTCAGTGCGGACCTGTATTTGATCGTGAGGTCCCCTGTGAGGTCTTAAGTCACCTGATTCACGAGCCCGTTGTACTACATTAACAAAGGCACGAGGGGTTGGTTGCACTCGATTGGGAAACCGATCCGCATAAACATGTGCCATTTTTTATTTCGTTTGAGCCACGCAACAGAAACTATTCACACGCTAACCGACAGATACTGACTGTATGTATAACTGAACTGAATAAAACACTTAATTGCAAAAACGTCGTTCCAAATTCTTTCGCTTTTTTGTTTCCGATGCGATGAACCGGTAAGGCGGATTATATCCGTTGTTGCCAAACACGAGTACATGATATTATTATTGAGACAGGGCGGTACTCAAACTTCCAAAGGGCTATAACTTTGTTACTTTAATTTTACCAGAAAAATGGTAAAGGAAAAAAACATTTCTTTTGATCAGATCTACTCACTGTTAAAATAAATGACTCAACTTCGAAGTCACCCTGTATAAAGACTTACATTATAGGTATTTATATATCATCCTCGCCTTCGGAGCTGTCGCTAGAGTCATCTTGTAGAGGAATTACAACGGGATTTACAGGAGGCAAAACACAATATTCATTTTCTTTTTCAATAATATGCCTAGAACACTGCTTCCATAGGTCTGTGGCAGCAATATGAGATACTGCATCTCTTATTGTGGCCAATAGCGATTCACTTAATTGAGGGGTCTGATTATGTTTTCTTACTTTTTTTTTTAAACCAACCCAGATCAACTCAATCGGGTTAAAAGTGCAGTAATAGGAAGGTAGACGTAATACTTCATGGCCATTTTGCTGAAGCAGATTGTCAACAACATACTCTTTTTCAAATTTTTGTCTTTTAATAAGATCCAATAATATGGCTTTGGTTGATTTTTGTGGTATTTCCATTCCCTTATCCTTCATAAAATCAATAATGTCTTGTTTTTTTGTGCCTGTATTCGGAATTTTGTTTTTCTGTCGGGAATGGTATGGCGCATTGTCCATAATAATCACTGAATTTGGGGAAATGTTTGGTATTAACTGCTGCTCTATCCACTTTTCAAATAAGTCGGAGGTCATGTCCTCATGATAGTCGGCACATGATTCTTTGATATTTTTGGCAGATAACAGCAAGGCATTAGGTATAAATCCATTTTCACTGCCAGCATGGAGAATAATGATTCGTTTTCCACGGTTGCATGGTGCATTTAAAATGCACTTGTTGCTGTCGTCAACCCAGCCGTACTGCACAACATCATGGGTATCATACCACGTTTCATCCAGGTAAATCAGATTTCTTTTCTGCTCTCTATAGATTTTAACTTTGTGCAAAAATTCTTGGCGCAATTCAACGATTCGAGACGACTCCATAATCACCATTCTTTTATCTAATTTTTTGTATTGAAAACCACACAGTTTTACAATACAGTGCAGTGAGTCTAAGCATTTGTAATTATAAAAATCTTCAGGATCATCTTTTAATTTATCCCGTATCATTTCTAACGTGGGCACCAAATTTCCTTTATAAAATCCGTATATTATACGACGAATATCTTCCTGAAAACCCACGTCTATTCTTTTTAATTTTTGCCCTATGCGCTTTCTGTGGAAGGAATGGTTGACTACATCTCCCCTTTTTATAACCCGATAAATGGTAGACCGACTGATTTTTGTCAGGATACAAATTCTGTTTAAAATTTGATTTTGCGAGGAATCTGGATTTTCGTTTTTCAGACAATCATACATATTTAGGATTACTCTTTGGGTATGTTCCTCTAAATCTTTATGAAAGAATTCTGCCTGCACAGGTTCATCAACCATCTCCTCGTGGCTTGGAGCATTTTCCCAAGGTCTCCAAAGAGCCATATTTAGGACACACAAGAACAATCATCACAACAATTAAGTCAACAAGTAAACTGTAAACTCAAAAGTCAAAAACACACAAACTAATAAAATCTATGAAAAAACACGGACAGACTAAAGAAAACACATGTATTCACCGCTACACGGCACTGGCTAAACTGTTTCAATTTTCAGTAGCCACCTGCACTTGTTCCGAGCTCTGAAATACACGCTTTCTCATTGGCTATATCCACGCATAGGCGTGCTTTACTCCACGTGAACCGGTGAAACTGCCTTTGATCTGTTATACGGGGGATATTTGCTGCGCAATTTGGCGATTTTTGCAGCAACAGAGCGTGTTAAATATAGATATATAAAACGCACCCGGTATTTCACAGTGTTTCAAGTGACTTCAGATAAAGTATACCAGCATTTTCGGAAATTATATTGTAGCAACTTCCTTTATTCCTATGAACTTGACGGGCGAGACGTACTTGGACATATTAGAAAAAACATGAGCCAAAAATAATAGAAAATGACGTTAATTATAATGAAAATTACATTCATTTCCAACAAGATGTTGCACCGCCGCACTATGTGGCCCCAGTACGACGGTTCACCCATTTTCCGATTTAGTGGATCGGCGGTCGAGGCCCCATCGAGTGGCCGCCGAGATCTCCGGACATGAGTCCTTTAGATTAGTTTCTTTTGGGGGCATTTGAAAAGTAAGCGAAGCCAGATTCCATTCATCATCTTCGTCTGCGGATTACGGCTGAATGTAGACAAATAAACCAAGACATGCTTGAAAATGTGAAGAATAAATATTTATTATTGCATGGAGGTAAATCGACACCACTTTTTATTTTAACTTTAATGTGAGCGTAAACTGAATGCTGTTTTTTTTTAATACTCATAGACTTGTTTTACAAACTTAAATAGCCTCACAACGATTGAAGAAAGCTATAAGCTTCATTATAAAAAAGCTACTAAAAAATATACTAAGTGACATATAAATCCGAACACCCAGTTTAAATGGTTTTATTTTAATAAAAGTTGGTGAATGTATTTATCTTACTGTAAATAACAAGTTAAAAAATTTTCAGCCTATCAGTTGGACATTCCGCTCTAAAAATGAATATTTCAGCCGCAGTAAAGAATCAACGTTCGCGGATTTTGGTTCTTGACATCCTTTACGAGTACGGGGACCTGTACGATTTCGTCAACTTAGTGAGTTTGATAGGGGCCGTATAGTGGGACTTCGGGAAGCTGGACTTTCTTTTCGAGTAATTGCAGTTAAGAGTGCAAAGAAGTGTAGACACTGTGGTTAGGTGTTATCAGGCATGGCTTCGAGAAGGCCGTACGCAAAGAGCAAGGGGCACTGGACGCCGCCGTAGAACAACAGACCGTGAAGATCGCCGCCTAAGATTATTGGCCTTAAGGGACCGTTTCTCCACTACCAGGTCCATTGCAAATGAATGGTTTGCAGAACACGGAAGACCTATTGGCATGCGAAGTGTTTACCGACGAATGAGAATTTTTCACTTGTTTTCATACCGGCCACACTGGGTCCTCCCTTTAACTCGAGAACACCGACGTAATCGCCTTGAGTGGTGCAGACAACGGTCACTCTGGGATCAGGAATGGAACAGTATTGTCTTTAGTGACGAGTCTCGATTTTGTTTAGGCATGCACGATGGTCGTGCCAGGGTTAGAAGGCGACGTGGTGAAAGGAGGAATCCACTGTTTTTTGTTGAAAGACATGTTCATCACACTGTTGGAGTTATGGTTTGGGGTGCTATAGCTTATGGTTCCAGGTCACCTTTAATCTTCATCAGAAGTAACATGAACGCGCAGCGTTATATCCACGAAGTTCTAGAACCCCATCTTTTACCCTATCTTGACACCCTGGCAGATCCAACTTTCCAACAAGATAATGCCCGACCACATGTTGCAAGAGTCACAATAGACTTCTTTCAACATAATGATGTCACATTGTTACCATGGCCACCAAGATCTCCCGACTTATCCCCAATTGAGCAAGTGTGGGATATGATGGGTAGGAGATTGCTCAATTTGCAACGTCCTCCTCAGACTCTAGAAGCACTTCGACAGGAGTTGGTGGTTGCCTGGAATGAGATACCACAGGCGGACATTGACCACCTGATCAGAAGCATGCCTAGGCGCGTTGGAGAATGCGTAGCACATCAGGGTGCATCCACACATTATTAAAGGTCAAAGGGCTTTAAAGCAGTGCAATCATTTTGAAATTTTTATCATTTACTTATTATGCTTCATTAAGTACTTATACAAAATTTTATTAAAATAAAACCATTTAAACTGGGTGTTCGGATTTATATGTCACTTAGTATACATGGAAAATCAAAAAATGGGGTTTCCATTTAAACGCAATCATCCTGTATTGTACGGCTATAGATGCAACAACGTCCCCCTAGAAATCAAATATGACGTCTCCGAGCGTTTTTCCCAAAATACAAAAGGGAGAGTCAAAAATGGGGATACGGCCTTTTCGTTGGGCCACCCTGTATGTATTCGAACAGTTCATTAACGATTAAATGTCTTAGGCTGAGATTATTTTTGTTGTATTAATAAAAGGTACTGTTTCGATAGAAGATTTGATATCAGGTTGCCACGAAAACAGATCTTTGATATCTTTTCCAGTTTGATCGCAAAACTAATTTCTATTTTAGTTGGGACACCCTGTATTTTCCAAAACATCAAATTTAATGAGTGATGGGTGAAAGGCCGTTTTTAAATTGGATCTACTACAAGGATGCCGATATGTAACTGACTGGTTTGTATCTTGAATATTATTTGTGAATTGAAATAAAATACGTCTATTTCATTCATCTTAATCTTTTATTGAAACTTGAAAATTATGTGTGAAAAATAATATCAGACAAATGTCCACCTCTAGAAGCAAACCAGAGCCCTCTTGATTATATTTTCCATAACTTTTTGGTAGGTTTCGGGAGAAATATTTTCAATCGCTTCCGTAATATTGTTTTTCAGCTACTCTACGGCAGGGGCGGCTGGCCCTTAAGTTCTGTAGAAGTGCCAAAACTTTTGTCTTAGCAGAAAAAAGCAGTAGTAATTTGATCATTATTTATTTACCATGTTATCACACAAATAGAAACAATACCGGCAACGCTGCCCCCGCAAGACACAGCGTCGAGTCTGTTTTGTATCGAGAAAGCAGTATAATCGACCAATTGTGTACTTGTCATTTTCGTCGCGACCGCAGCGTAACATTATTCATGGGCCACTTGAAAAGGGTCTGTGCACTACTTCGACACAAGTCGCACGCGCTTGCTTTTGTCTCTCTCTACAAAATCAAATGCGCCATTTAAGATCCGTACAGTTGCGAAGTACGATATCTGATTGGTGGGTCGGTGCTTGGTATACAATTTTGCGGAGCATTTGAATTGGCGCTACGAAACCGAGAGCTCCCAAAATCCTGGAATATTTCGTGGACTGATTAATTTTTCTGCTGAGCTTGATACAACCTCAAGCGAACACATAAAAAATGCTTCAATATTTACAAGAACTTCGAAAGAAATATAAAACGTTGTACTGGATTGTATTCTTGATGTTTGTCATGAAGAAATAATGAAACAGATTAACAGAGCCTCTTATTTGGCAATAATAGCAGATTAAACAACGGACATTTCGGGGAAAACTCAACTGGTAACAATTTTCAGATACGTATTTAACGGCGAACCAGTAGAACGTTTTTGGAATTATATGAATCCCGAAAAATGTGACGCTGATACTATCACAAGAGCATCGTTGATCCAGAAATAGGAAATTTCCCTAACAAACTGATTCCACAAAGCTATGATGGAGCCGCGGTAATGAGCGGACATAATGCTGGAGTACAGGCAAAAATTAAGCAAAGATATCCATTTACTCACTATGTGCATTGCTATGCGCATCAGTTAAACCTGATTATGTCCCAGGCTGCTTCCGCAAATGCTCAAGTTTGGCTATTCTTTGGGGATTTGAAAGATATTCCGGGATATTTTAATAATTCTCTTCGACGCGTAGAGGTACTGAACAGAATTGTGGGGAAAAAATTCCCCAAGGAGCAACAACTCGATGGAATTTTAATATGCGAACAATAAATGTAGTGTTTGAGAACAGAGAATCACTCATTGAATGCATGGAAGAAATAGAAGAAAAATTCACTAATGAAACCGTTTGCAAGGCAGCTTGCAGTATTCGATTCTGTTTTCGTTTACATTTTTTCATCATGTCATGCCTCACGTCGACATCTTGTTCAACCAGTTGCAGAAGAGAAAAACCGAGCCAGCGCAAGTTAAAACGGCTATCGATAATTTTGAAAAATGTATTGTCGATGTGACAAATAAAATTGATGACATAATAAATGAAGCCAAAAGTATTTGCACTGAACCCCAAGGCAACAAAAGGAGACGACGTAATAATAGCAGTCACGATCACCGAGTTGCCGCATTAGAAGTATGCGAAAATATAGTGAATTCTGCAAATGACAGATTTCAATTCAAAGATCATTTGGTAGCCGCATCCCTTTTTTTCCCCGAACACTTTGGAGAATACTGTGGTAAGTTTCCTGATGACAAGTTGGAAACTACCTGCTTGGCTTATCCCGAATTAGAAAAAGTCGTTTAAATTCAGAGTTGTCTGTTATTTATGCACGGAATGATTGCCGAGATTTACATGGAACTCTGTATCTTTTAAAATGTTTGATAGTTTGGAAGAAATACTAAAAGAAACAAAAATCTATTAGAAATTATTGTTACAACTCCTATGTCAACATCAGAGGCTGAGCGAAATTTCTCAACATTGAAAAGATCAAGACTTTTCTTCGTAATACTATGACCCAGGATCGCCTTACAGCGTTGTCGATGCTGTAGATTGAAAAGGAATTTATTTCGACTAATGGAAAATTTCAACGGGAAGGTGAACGACAAATTTGCTGCCAAGAAGGAGCGCAGGATCGAACTGACATAAAAAATAGGTAAGTTCGGATTTACAGAACACCTGTTTTATTTTGCCACGAGCCGCCACTGCTCTACGGTATTTGGTTTCTTGGCATGGATGACACGAGGGTTCTCTAATAGCCAGATACGACAATTCTGCTTATTAACAAATCCGTTCATATCGCTCATTGTTGTCGGTAAAAATCGTTATTTTGTATTGTCGACTACTTTCATGGTCACTAGGATGTAGTTCTTGTGTTAACTGAATTTTGTATGTCCACAGATGCAACTTTTTTTTTAAATAGTGCATAATGTGCGACGAATACCCGGTTCTTGAGCACGATGTCTTGTAGACGTCTCAGGGCGCTCCACTACACTTTCACGAACTCTCTCGATATTTTCCGCGGTACGAACAGTTCGAACACGGCCCGACCTTGGCAAGTCTTTAACTTCAAATTTCCCCACCAACTGACGAATGGTGTTGACACTGGGTACATTATTGCGACCGAAATTTTGTCGTAACTTCCGAATCGTTGCCACAATCGACTCATTATTCAAGTAAAACGTTTTAAGAATACGGACGCGTTGCGGGATGATGAGTTGGACACATGTATGGTATATCTGAAGTCACTTGAAATAGCATAAAAACCTTTGGTCGGCGCGTCCTTTGTAATTTCATGACGTATCATAGGCGTGCGGTCATTTATTTAGAACGATAATAATAATGTTTTTATATCACAATAAATGGATTTTACTATCTTCTTATTTTTTGATTTGGGATAAAAAATACTTATATTGGGAGTTTAATTTATGTTGACTGAAAGTTAAGAAATGGAAAAATTACAGAATTCCAACGTTTGACATAGGCAAATATTTACATAGCAGGTAGGTATATAAAGACTTACATTATAGGTACATATTTATATATCATCCTCGCCTTCGGAGCTGTCGCTAGAGTCATCTTGTAGAGGAATTACAACGGGATTTACAGGAGGCAAAACACAATGTTCATTTTCTTTTTCAATAATATGCCTAGAACACTGCTTCCATAGGTCTGTGGCAGCAATATGAGATACTGCATCTCTTATTGTGGCCAATAGCGATTCACTTAATTGAGGGGTCTGATTATGTTTTCTTACTTTTTTTTTAAAGCAGCCCAGACCAACTCAATCGGGTTAAAAATGCAGTAATAGGGAGGTAGACGTAATACTTCATGGCCATTTTGCTGAAGCAGATTGTCAACAACATACTCTTTTTCAAATTTTTGTCTTTTAATAAGATCCAATAATATGGCTTTGGTTGATTTTTGTGGTATTTCCATTCCCTTATCCTTCATAAAATCAATAATGTCTTGTTTTTTGTGCCTGTATTCGGAATTTTGTTTTTCTGTCGGGAATGGTATGGCGCATTGTCCATAATAATCACTGAATTTGGGGAAATGTTTGGTATTAACTGCTGCTCTATCCACTTTTCAAATAAGTCGGAGGTCATGTCCTCATGATAGTCGGCACATGATTCTTTGATATTTTTGGCAGATAACAGCAAGGCATTAGGTATAAATCCATTTTCACTGCCAGCATGGAGAATAATGATTCGTTTTCCACGGTTGCATGGTGCATTTAAAATGCACTTGTTGCTGTCGTCAACCCAGCCGTACTGCACAACATCATGGGTATCATACCACGTTTCATCCAGGTAAATCAGATTTCTTTTCTGCTCTCTATAGATTTTAACTTTTTGCAAAAATTCTTGGCGCAATTCAACGATTCGAGACGACTCCATAATAACCATTCTTTTATCTACTTTTTTGTATTGAAAACCACACAGTTTTACAATACAGTGCAGTGAGTCTAAGCATTTGTAATTATAAAAATCTTCAGGATAATCTTTTAATTTATCCCGTATCATTTCCAACGTGGGCACCAAATTTTCTTTATAAAATCCGTATATTATACGACGAATATCTTCCTGAAAACCCACGTCTATTCTTTTTAATTTTTGCCCTATGCGCTTTCTGTGGAAGGAATGGTTGACTACATCTCCCCTTTTTATAACCCGATAAATGGTAGACCGACTGATTTTTGTCAGGATACAAATTCTGTTTAAAATTTGATTTTGCGAGGAATCTGGATTTTAGTTTTTCAAACAATCATACATATTTAGGATTACTCTTTGGGTCTGTTCCTCTAAATCTTTATGAAAGAATTCTGCCTGCACAGGTTCATCAACCATCTCCTCGTGGCTTGGAGCATTTTCCCAAGGCTCCAAAGAGCCATATTTAGGACACACAAGAACAATCAACACAACAATTAAATCAACAAGTAAACTGAGTATTCAAAAGTCAAAAACACACAAACTAATAAAATCTATGAAAAAACACGGACAGACTAAAGAAAACACGTTTATTCACCGCTACACGGCACTGGCTAAACTGTATCAATTTTCAGTAGCCACCTGCACTTGTTCGGAGCTCTGAAATACACGCTTTCTCATTGGCTATGTCCACGCATAGGCGTGCTTTACTCCACGTGGACCGGTGAAACTGCCTTTGATCTTATATTATATATTTGCTGCGAAATTTGGCGATTTTTGCAGCAACAGAGCGTGTTAAATATAGATATATAAACCGCACCCGGTATTTCACAGTGTTTCAAGTGACTTCAGATAAAGTATACTATAACAACCGCCACCTACTGAAAAATGGCACGCAATTCAAATCAGTCAGTTATATATTGGCCACCCTGTATAATGCTGATTTTCGTCATCAAATCCATAGCATTTAGACTACAAGATGTTTCCTAACAAAAGCAGACCTGCTTTGCAAAGACATTTATCTGTTTCTCAGAAAAAGCAATAAACTATATGCTTACTTTCGTCCACATTATGAGGATGTTTATGCTTAGATTTACATAATTCGCAAAGACGTTGACATCTGCGGATATTTCACTGTTGCAAAATTAAATATGCATTACGTGACTCAATTTCGTTGCTTTATTAAAAAAAAACGGGATATATCGATATTAAAAGTTTCTCGTCGATAGTTCTTCCACGAATTTTTTTCAGCATTTCAACGCGTGGTTTCAGAGGTGAACGTACGTTTCTTAGAAAGAAATGATGGATGTAAACCGAAATATATTCGTGCAATAAACAATCGAATAAATTATAACTCACCATTTATTTTTGTACACTCGTGATATTGTATAGCAAACGCTTCTTGTTCCTGCTCCATCCTCCTGAGTTCCTCGGCAGTACTCTATGAAAAACAAAACATTGTCGATAACGTAGAAACTAAATCTAGAACTTTTTTTTTATATTCAAATATGAAAAGGTTTAGGTCGATACTTCTCAACTTCACTATGTCCATGAAGTACAGAGTACCTTGTATGTGGGATGATCTACATTGTGCACTTTCGTGGGCGTAACATAAGAGCTGAAAACAAATGTAAGGCGTAGTACCTGCGTTCTGTTGCGTAGTATGTCGATCTTGTGCATAACTTCGGCTCCCGAATTGGTGATGACCATGTTAGGCAGTCCGCCCAGATTCTCCCCGCTGGCGTTCTGGATCAATCTCATCTCCGCAGCCAGACAATTCCGAACGTACGTGAACAGCTGCATCGGATTCGAACTGGAAAATGTTTAGCTGATACTATTTTTTTCTACGACAGCGTTATCGAGTTTCCTATGAGAAACTTTTCTTTGATATTTATACTTTCTATGCCAAACAGCGAGGAGGCAACTGGCGACTGTGTAATGCGTAACAAACTCGAACTGGTGAAGCTGCGGCGGTGTCGTCACTGGCACACACCGCTTATTTTAATAATATTTAGATATTATACTTAGCTGTTTTTATATCTACGCATATATTAATCTAATGTCAATTTGACGTTAGACCATAAGGGGTATTAGAGGGATGTCTTTTAAGTTTTGCATATAGAAACATAATAGGCCTGGTAAATAAATCTTTTTCTATGCCAAATATACTTACAGCTTACACTTGTATAATTAACATATTCCATCTAACAAAAAAAGGTAATAGCAAAATCCGTCCATATTGGGTTGTTTGTACATCTAGTAGGTGTGGAAGAGAAAACACGATTTTTTTTCGGGGCACATTCATTTTTTATGGGCTCAGAAGGTATTTGAGATTGGGATTTTTTCGTATTAAAAAGTAATATATTGGGATATGATACATAGCATTTTATATAGAATGTTTCCTGTACTTATTGATAAAAGACTAAATTTGCCATTCAAAAAAAAAACTTGCGCTAAACATTTCACCCAAAAATTTCGCATTTTTTAATTTTCGATTTTTGGACTCCAAAATACATCAGAAGTTTTTAAATGGAGGTGCGTATTTTATTTATATATTATAATTGTTGATTTCCTCAAAAAAATTAAATGCATTTTTATGAAAAAGTAGCTAGATGACGTACAAAAAAGCTCGTGAAACCCATATCTCGATATCTTGTTCCTAACCTAAAATTTAAACCAGAGTTTTTTACGGAAATTCCTTGAATTCATAATTATTCTTGCATTCTTTTTTGTTTATAAGAATAAAATCACCCTTTTAAAAAATATCGCAAAATGTCTGTAAAAGGTAATAACAAAAGGCATATTTTTAGTTTAAATGCATATTCACTATGAGTATACAGGGTGTCCCAGAAGTCGACGTCAAGCCGAAACTGGGTGATAGGCAAAGTCATAACAGCTATCAGAAAAATATTTAAAAAAATTTTATGTATGTGTTTTGAAAATTATAGGTCTTTGAAAAAAATATAGAAATTTCACACCCTACGGCAGTCTGTCAACTCCTGTTACTACAAATATTAACTTTTTTTGGATTTTATTTTTACAATGTAATGATGAATAATGCATCTTCAAACTGGTGTCTCAACCTTAATGTCAACTTTTCTCGTTCAGGAAAAATTGCCACTTATTTCCCAACCAAGAATACCAAAGTAAAACTTTGCTCAACTTTAACTGGCTGTACTGGAAAAAAATGTACTACGAGAGTTTGGCAAGTAGTATAAAATTTATTGGTGGACGTGCCACTGAGTATTTACAGGGACATGTGGTTTCAGCATGATGGCTGCCCAGCGCACTATGCACTCTCAGTAAGAGAGTATCTCGATCAAAACTTTCCAGGCAGATGGATAAGGCGGTCTGGTACAATACCGTGGCCAGCCCGATCACCTGATTTGAAGCCTTTAGATTTTTTTACTGGGGAACTGTAAAAGAAAAAGTGCATTTCAAGCCGATTCAAAATGTAGCTGAGCTACGGCAAAGACTATTGGAAGCAGCTGAGTTTGTTAATAACCGTGGATTCGCTCGTTTAATAACCCGATCTTTTTTAAGATGTCGAGCGTGTATTGCGGCTGAAGGAAAACAGTTTGAGCATTTGCTGTAAAGGTAAATCATCATCAGCAGCATTTTGACGCCCACTGTTGTGCAAACAGTTATCCTTAAGTTTCCTTGTGCGTTTTGATAATCGCTGTTTAATTAGGAAATTTTGAAAAATTTCATCAGTTTTTCTTCAAATAAAAATTGTGCATAAGTTAACGAGTAATCTTCTAAGTGTTATACCATTTTGGAATCCTTATTAAATGCGCCAACTTTTAAGGTTACTTGCCAAACTCTCGTAGTACATTTTTTTCCAGTACAGCCAGATAAAGTTGAGCAAAGTTTTACTTTGGAATACTTGGTTGGGAAATAAGTGGCAATTTTTACCTGAACGAGAAAAGTTGGCAGTAAGGTTGAGACACTAGTTTGAAGATGCATTATTCATCATTACATTGTAAAAATAAAATCCAAAAAAAGTTAATATTTGTAGTAACAGGAGTTGACAGACTGCCGTAGGGTGTGAAATTTCTATATCTTTTTCAAAGACCTATAATTTTCAAAACACATACATAAAATTTTTATAAATATTTTTCTGATAGCTGTCATGACTTTGCCTATCACCCGGTTTCGGCTTGACGTCGACTTCTACGAAAAAGACAATTCCCATGTTGAACTGAGTATGACCTTAGTAAAATATGCTACTCAATGATTGTACTAACAACTGGAAAAATCGAAATACTGCCCTGCAAAACCCTATATTTTCAGGTTTTCTACAGGAACAATTTCACAGGCCCCTGCAGCAACGTGTGCAATCATCATAATCATATGTACTGCAATAAATAATGATACCATATAATTTCTTCTGATTAAATGTAATCATTTGAAAACATGTCTATTTTTACAATCAATTTAAATGATTTACTAATAATTACTGGGTAAATCAAATATGCAGTTAATAAACATAAGTACATCAGCAGTAAGAGACGCAGGTTTGATAAGTCTGGCAAACTGTAGATATAAGCACAATTCAGAAACAGTGATAAGATAAAATGATGGGAATATATTCTACAAACCAGATACAGTGTAATGTTACACCTAGCATATAACATTGCATACTTGCATTCTTCTTGCTATACAGCATGTTTGTTTGTTTGTTGTAGATTTGTTTAGCATTAATGAATTTTAGTTTTCCATGAAATATTTTTTCAATTTCCCTTTGAACATTTTCGAAATGGCACACTCCTAGGTATCATTATTTAATCTATTAAATTCAAACAATCCTTTTTAAAATACCGATTTGTTTGTTATATTGCTTCTACAATTTTGTAAATGAAGCCCCTCTAGTACTTGAATATAAGGTTATGAAATTTTTGATATTTAACCATTGTAGTTCTTTCAGCATAAAATTTAGTCTAGTATATTTAATTTGTAATACATATAATTTTGAATATACAGATTCATTTGCAATGAACGAAATAGTTGAAGAATGTAATATGTTGAAGGCTGAACTTTCAAGTCCATAGTAATGCAATTTACCAAAATATTTATTGCATTACTTTGAATATTGCATTTTTTTCTCCAAAATCCGTCTGCTTCACATTAATTCAACATATACTTTACACTAAAATCAATTTCATGAATTAAACTGTAAAAGATTTGAGCTATAATGGCTTCCAGAATAGTATAGTTAAGTATACAATAAAATGTTCGTTGTACATATTTATATAACGTGTTCATTTTGTACTTACCTATATTTTTGTCTGAACATACGAGCAGCTTCAGCAAGTTTGAGCTTTGTCAAGAAATATTCAGCGTCAGTAACGACAGCTGCTTTGTTCTCAATTTCATTTATTAGGGAGTGGACCAAAGTTGCCACATACTGCTCATGCTGAGGATTGTCTACTAAGGGTTCATGCCTGTAACAAACATTTAATATTTTCCATCTACCTAGTACAGCAGTGTAGATTACCTATTTGTTTTTTCACTACTAACGCTATGTTGTCAATTTTACTGCATCATAAACAATGGTTAAAGCTGTGTAATCAGTTTTGTAGGACAAACTGCATATTTTCCTTATCATTGGGTCTATGGTCAATAGAATTGTGAAGCCTATACACAGAACAGCATTTTAAGGGGGGTCTTCCATGTCATATTTTTTGCTCGCGGGCTTCATTAAAAAAATACGAGGTATTGAAATTTAAAAATAAAAAACAATTTTTTTTAATATCCTCAAAACCATCAACTGAAATGAACTAAAAGTTGAATCACCTTATATATCAGTACAAAACGACGCCGAACCATGATGTGTGAGGTACCAGCAGTGCTTTGACAGGGTTGCCATGTTTGTGGATTTTTCCCGAAATTCAGGGGATTTTCACTTGGGGAATATAATGTTGTGGGGACGTTTCGCGAATAGAAAACATCCCACTAAAAAACTAATTTTGATGTCTTAGTACCAAAACTATTACGTGGCTTACTTTATATCAAGCCAAAATATTTTGTACACCTGCTGAAGATGCATGTGCAGTTGTTAAATGATATTGATAATTTTATCATTTTCACTTTATCAATATCACTTTTACAGTTAAGTTGCTTTCAAAAGAGCTTATTGAAATTGAGCACTCAGCTTGAAGTTTTACAATTATTGATGATATATCATATCACTAAAACTGGTGAAAAAGGTGCATTCAAGATACTGTTAATAGTAAGATGTGTTTGACAACAGCTGATAAAACTTAAAAGAGAATTAATTTTGATTAAATAAAAAGATAAATTTACTAGTTACAAAAAAATAATTATTACTCTGAAAAAAAAAGTTGGTTTAAACCTGCCAAACCTTTTTTTAATAAAACTGAATTTTTATGAATAATAAATACGAGCCCCTTCCCACTTCAGTTGGCCCAACTATTGAAATCTTAGTTTTTTTTCTTATCAAACACAAATAATAAAAATGTAGCAGGATGTTAAAGGTTTAAAAGATTAACAATGAATATTTTGATAATATATAGTAGAAAACACCAACTTTATCACTCCCTAATCAAATTTGCAGCATAAAAATAACACATGTTGCAATTACAGCATATCAACCTATTTTCATTACAAAGCAAAATAAGTCTATAACGCATAGGTAGCTGTGAAAAATAAAAGCCGTGACAATTGTTTTTATTAATCACAGCTGTCAAACTTATTAGTGAGAAAATTCGGTTACTGATAATGAAATTTTTTAATTCTGGGAAATCAAACTCAGAAATTGCAACTTTGTTAGACTTATCGCGGTACAGTGTGAGAAATATTGTTAGAAGATATAATGTAACTGGTTCAGTTAATATTAAGCCACGATATGTGAAAAAAAGTAATATCCCAAATGCTGCCCGATGAGCATTAAGAAGAATAATCGTGAAAAACAGGCATGCCAATTATTTACAATTAAGTGTTCTGTGGAGTGACGCTGTTGTACGGAGAATTTCGAGGTCCACAACTCATAGAGAGGCCCACAAACTGGGATTTAGCACTTGCAAGGTAAGTTTACTTATACAAAAAAGTGAAGTAAAAACCCTAAGTCAGCTTAGATGGGCTAAAGAACATTCGACATCATGCTCGTACAATCACCGAACTGAGACACAAGCTCCAAGAAATATGGGATTGTTTTACACTAAATTTTTACAAAAACTTGGTTAACACTATGTCCCAAAGATTTTCAGTCGTAATAAAAAATAAAGGTGATGTTACCCAATGATAATCTTTCAATTGTTGCTTTGTTAACTTCGCGCATTTATTCGCACATTGTTTATTTGTTCAGATGTTCTATTAGTTATAGGCCTAAGTGATTTCAAATATGTATTTTTTACGACTAGAGTGTACCTAAAATGTTTTTGAGAAAATAAATAGTTTCGTCATGTTTATAAAGGCATATTTTGGTACAAATCTTGAAGTGGGCCAACTGAATATCCTAACCACTTCTCTACTAGGGTATGTAATGTAATATTATCCTAGACAAATGAAAAATTGAAAGCTTAAAAACCATTATAAAGTGGGCATTGCCCTACACAAACTGTTAAAAAATAGTAAAACCAACATACCAAAACTTGTCCTCAATGTACTGCGCAAGATAGTGGCGGACTTCGATAGGAAAATGATCTCCATATATACCCCTGATTTGCTGGAGGCTCTCGGGCGGGAGCTGTTGAGCTTTAGCCCACAGCGCCATAGTTACGTCTGCAAACAAAAAACTAAATCTACACTTCGAAATGCAACATTTGCAATCCTGTTTTTGTTTACTAAAGCTTTCTAAGCGCAAAATTCGTATAATAATCTCAAGGTCATCGGAACTAGATACGGCACGACAAAAACTTGTTTATATTTCACGGCTTTCTCGACTCGGTGCGGCGTTTTTGATGCGGCTGCAACTCGATAGACGCAACGGAACGAATCCCACAATCGCCGAAACGCAGTGATTAGCTATACACTGGCGATTTTATCAACAAGAAATCAAAGAAAGAAAAGAACAAATAAATGTTTCTTCACCTCACGCTGCAATCAATTCTACCCAACAAACATGGCTGACATAAGTGACAGTTGACATATTAAGGAAAGAAGGCAGACAACTTTAACGTATTGGCCAATCCAACGAATATACTCAGAGCTCACGTGGCTGAGCAACCGCGCCCCGTTTCCGGCTCCGTCTTGAAAAATGAAAATGCCAAAAACTTTAATCTGGCATAATGTTAAGATGTATGTATCTCACAAAATACTCTTTCTAAATTCCCGAATCAGATCTTAGGCCACGACTGTCTTTCTTATATTGGAAATTAAAACGTAGGTCTAGGCTTTATTATTGCGTCTTTTTCAAACTGTCGTTCAGAGATGGCAGCAGCTGTACAACCTTATGTCGACATCTATACGTCAATATAGAAAGCACGTAGTATTATTATTAAACGTAGATCGTTTATGTTTGTTTTTAGCCTTTTCTTCAGAGATGGCAGCAGCTGCACTACATTGTTTCGCCATCTATCGAGCAATACGTTAAGCTTGCAAATGTATCATATTATAGGTTCCTTTCTTATGAGAGTCGTAGTTCTTAGCGGTTGGTACAAATGTATGTCATATGACCAATGAGGAAGTCATCTTGGGGAATTCCAACATTTCCGACATTTTGTGAAATTGTGATAGACATTAGCTTTTTTGTTTTTGAGTGAATGACACTTCCATTTCAAGAATTAGTAAATACGCTAATTTTTATTCATTGTTAAATCATTATAGTGCTCATTTTCATTGTAAAAGTGTCCACTTGAACAGATATTTTTCAAATTACCCGCTTTTGTCAAATTACGTATCGATTCCGGTCCAGTTCTACCATTTCGACGTCTCATCGCTTGGTAGAGCAGCCCACAACCAAAAAGCGATTTCTTTTGATCAGTTCACCGTCTGGTCGTGTGCTGCTGATTTTTTTACATCCGTATACACGTGAGTACCTCATATTTTATAACTAGAATCTCGCAAAAATGCATAAAACTACCAGCAGATTCTCTTTGAGCAAACAATCTCTTCAAATAACCACGAAATAGCCAGTCCTAGATCTTTGTTATTCACATCATAGTAATGGAGGAACTTTTGATCCTTTCCTACTGCGATCTGTAAATATTTGTAGAGTTCTTGTGTAATTGCGCATCATTTAGAAACACGCTACCCTCAACGACTCCGGAAAAACAATTCAAATCGCTACAAAAGCTGCCTTATTGTCTCGTGAATGCTTCGTGAGTCGTTGACCTGTTTTTTTACAAAATTCCGTTATTCTTCACGTATGATCTCAATGCCGTTGCTAAGACCCATCGGCAACGAATTAAAATGTTCTTAAAATTGCAACACAACAAATTCCACTGTTAAATGAGATCGTGAACGTATTTGTCCAGGCCTTTCTTCGCATGTAGGTTATTCTATGAGTCAGAGCTTCTTTATCGTTCTTCAACAGCGCAAATAGACGATTCTTATCAAAAGGCTCAAAGTTTGCGAAAATAGAAAGTCTTGAAAGTGGCATCCTATTGAAGCTACCACTTCTGTGAAAGGTTGCACATATAAGCCAGGCTATATTCAATATAGTTTCAAATTATTGTGAGTAGACCATTGTAGAATGGAAGTTAACCTGTATGGTTTGAAATAATTGTATTATTAATAATGGCATTTATTACCTAGCAGAAACAGATCCATTTACAAGGCATTAATACCATACATAATTGATTAAAGACATATTTCACTAGGCATACCTTCAAGATTTCTGAAGATACAAATTAAATATGTCACAAAAATTACAAGTTTTATTAATGTTTCAGCACATTTGTCTGGTTACATATTGTAAGAGTTGTTTGAAAATTCTCGTAAATATTGCCTAAAATATCATGTGTTTATTGTATTTCTGTTCCTCTTAGCTATTAAGTCATTGAAACTTGGTATTCAGAGATAATTTTGGGTGATTTTTATGAATGTGTCCTTGAAGAATCTTGTTAAGCTCCATTCACAATAGGAAAGTAAGCTTCCAGGGCCACCTGTTGATATCATTGCAAAATTGACATTTGAATCATAGTCACCCAATATTTTTGAATCCTACAAATAATTTGGGACACTGAAATCGAATATGACTCCGAAAACTGTGGAGTGCTGTTGAGCTGAATTCCAGGTAAAATTTGGTTGTTAGGGGTAAACTGCGACTCCTAGTGTCAGATTCTGATTTACTCAGGAGATCGAGATTGTTCGACCTGCCTTTGGAAATGAGTTGCCACAAAGATATTTAAGATTCTCTTAAAAGACTATTTAATTGAACATAGCTTTTCTAGTGTGAAAGAATATGATATAGGTTTTTTAGATTAAAGTTGCAAAGGATACAATGTTTTCTGTCGAGAGGAAAATAAATAAAGTTTTAGATATCATGGCTTTTGAAACTTTCATCACAAGGAACCTAAAAATATTACAATCCTATGTGGGAAAAAATTCCATTTTTGCTGGTCTACATTTGAATAATGGAATATGGAAAATAAGTGATTAGATGGATACGTATTTATTGATCACATTTTGTAAATTAATACAAGTGACAAGTCAGAGAAGGAAAAAATAATTGATACATAGAACCAAAAAGTAAGACCTACACATGGCATAGAAATTTTTTTATTTTGTGCTTAAACTTGTTATAATCTGTGGTATCCCTTATTAGTAAATTGAAGAAGATTTATTTTGTTAGAATTACTAAAAATTAGATACCTTAAGATCAGTAGATATTTAAAGAAAAAACATTAATCAGTAAGACACACGCAAAGTCAAATATTCATAAACTTAAGTACCTCTTTTTTGAGTGTATGAGGAGTTTAACATTCTTTTTGAAATATGATGAATTTGTAGGCCTCATTCTAGCTGGTATAGAAATGTATATATATTCATGTTTTGTCTGGTTGTATAAAGGTGAACATCACAAGCAAAGTTAATTGACCAATTAAGTATCTAGTGGCCTTTTCTTATCTTACAGATAAAAAACGTTGATGCATAGAACATTATCTGCAATTTAGATAAAAAATATGATGTATTCAGCATTGCATTTACAGGTGTAAAACGATTACATCTCAATGTAACTCCAATTGCATGATTTTATAGTTTTTCATCCAGAAAGAATTTCTTTGCGAGATTTGAAGCGTGCTTCGGGTTATTATCTTGCTGGAAGATTGATCTTAAGGGCATATTGTCTTCCATATAGGGTAACATGACATGCTTTAGTATGTCTGTGTATACAAACTTATCCATAATGCCATCTATTCTATGTAAAGGTCCCATCCCAAACCCCGAAAAGCACCCCCAAACCGTAACAGACCCGCCTCCATGTTTGACAGTGGGCAAAGTGTACTTGGGGTTCAATATTTGCCCACTAGGACGTCTAACGTAATGAAAACCATATGATCGAAACATATTGAACTTGGATTCGTCACTGAAACATACCCTCTTCCAGTCACAGATGCTCCAATCAGGATGCAACTGCGCAAATTGTAATCGGTCCTTACGGTTTCTCCTCGAGGTTAGCGGCTTCTTACTAGGACGACGTGCAAATAACTTCTAATCATTTAATCTTCTACTTATTGTTTTCGTAGAAACACTGACAATTCCTTTTGTCTCGATTTCAGCTTTTATTTGTCGTGGGGTTTTAAACGGATGTTTTTTTACGAAATTACTTTTATTAATCTAACTGATCTAGGATTTAGTTTTCTAGGCCAACCAGTTATCTTAGAGGCTTCCAAGATACCTTTTTGTTTATATTTGTTCAATATTGCCCAAACTGCTTTACGCTTCAGCTTCAAATTTTTTGGCAGTGTCGACTTGATGTTGACCATCTTTGTATAACTCAATGGTCTTAGTTTTCACATCGAAAGAAATTTCTGATACACGCGGCATGGTCTTAAAATCACTCAACTGTACTAAACTAATGTTGAAAAGCATTTGTCTACATATTTTTGTCCCTCATAAAAAAGAGCTTATATTCAGACTTGTATTGTGTTCATTGCAGATAATGTAAAAACAAGGAATTTAGTTTTTCTGCTAATAACGCATTTGTTTATGAAGCAATGAAGTATGAATTCGTTTTCTAAAGGTATTTAGGTAAATATTCATATTTGTCTATATACTTTGGTACATTACTGTATCTTTGTATGAACTTTTTTTATTGAAATTACCCAAAAAATCGTCTTTTAAATTTATGGTACATACTTAATTAACCCTGTATATCTGATAAACGATATAGACAAAATTTTCATTTTCACCAGCTGAGCTAACTGAAGCTGAGTATACTTACGTAAGTTGGAGCATTTAAACTGGTTATCACCGTAAAAACGACAACAATACATTTTTATTTCCAAATAACAATGCAAAATACATTTTATGTACCCATAATATAATATCATATAACATCACAAAAAAGAAACTAGAGAGAGGAAATAAACTAGTATCATGTTAAATTGTCATCCAGACAAGTTCAAAAATCAAAAATTTGTGTACTTTTTTTGTTAAAGAAAGTGAAATTTTTTTATATCTATTATTCTACGTTCCTTTTTTTTTGCAGCTGTGATTAATAAAAACAATTGTCATGGCTTTTATCTTTCACAGCCACCTATGCGTTATAGACTTATTTTGCATTGCAATGAAAATAGGTTGATATGCTGAAATTGCAATTGTTATTTTTATGCTGCAAATTTGATTAGGGAGTGATAAAGTTGGTGTTTTCTACTATATATTATCAAAATATTCATTGTTAATATTTTAAACCTATAGCACCCTGCTACATTTTTATTATTTGTGTTTGATAAGAAAAAAACTAAGATTTCAATAGTTGGGCCAACTGAAGTGGGAAGGGGCTCGTAGATGCTTTTTAGAGTTCGATTTTTAAAGATGAACAGTAAGACTTCTTGTAAATAACTAACAGTTATATTTGAAATATTAGAACTAAATTTTCCATATGATTCCCTTTTAAGCAAACGTTTCGAAGCGTTTTTTGTTACTATAAAAAGCCGACTTACATAAAAAAATATCTTAGGATAGATTCAAAATTAGCCTGAATGTAACATACACTGTTTAAATTATGTTCTGTTTTTTTTTCTATATGTTCTGACCCTTGACTGCAATTTAAGATTTATTTTTTCTGTCAAAGCTACTCTATACTATAACTATCTAAAACTGTAATGACTCATCGATGTTCACGTGAACATCACTTAACTACCAGTAGTCGGCTGTTCATAGGCGGGGTATGAATGTTTAACATGGGTGAACTAGATTTGTCACATGCTTAATAAAGAGTGGTTTGAAACATATTGTAAGTCAAAAATTTGGGAATTACCTTTATTCATCGTCGCTTCCACTTACATCTGACAGTAATAAACTGTCGCTATCGCTTTCCTCGTTGAAATTCACTATAACTGGCTCTATGATGGTGTCGATGTGGTGGTCAAGCTGCCACATTTTTGTTTCTTCCTTCACAACATGACGGATAGCATTCTGCCAAGCTTCGGGCGTTACTAGCTGTATGGAAGTCTCAAGTAAAACCTTAAAGTCTGGTAATTTGAAGGTTGTGTTATGGCGCGCAATATAACCCTTCACTTGAGCCCAGATGAGCTCTATTGGGTTCAGTTCACAGTGGTAGGGCGGTAACCGCAGCACAGTGACACCACATTGACGGGCCATCTCATCAGTCACGTAACTAATGTTCGCAGGTTTGTGCTGTTTAATTTTTTCATACAATTCCGCTTTCACACATGAATCGTCGAACGGGGTTCCTTTTTCGCGCAACCATTGCTGCATGTCACTTTTTCGAGATCCCATAGTCGGTACACGTTCGGCTCGACGAGTATGGTAGGAAGCATTATCCATGACGATCACAGAGTTGGGCTCAACTCGCTGAAGCACCCCTTGAAACCAGCTCTCGAAGCAGATGGCATTCATTTCGTCATGGTAATCACCTCCTTTCTTAGAGACGAAAATCAAGTCGCACTCTTCTAAAAAGCCACTATCGCTACCAATATGAGTTACGATCAATCTTTGACCTTTCCCTGACGGTCCACGAAGACCTGTTGACAAACCTTCAATGCTTGCTTGTCGGTTACTCACTACGTTTTTGTCTATCCAGGTTTTTTTAACTGTGTGACCTGCATTTACCCATGTCTCGTCCAAATAATAGATTTTTCTGCTTTGTCGCCTATATTCAATCATTTCGCGTAGGTATTTTCGACGCCAGGCGACTATTTCAGGTCTCTCTATCAATACTGACTTCCGATTACGCGTTTCGTAACGAAAATTAATTTCGTGCAGGGATTTGCTCATTACCTCGACGCTCATTTGGGGTATAATTTCATTTTCCTTGATCGCTGCATGTACAGCCTTGAGGGTTGGTATCTCATTCCTAAAGAAGAATGAATGTACGGTTCGCCTTAACGCCATTTTGCTATCGTCATTAAATTTAACGGCCTTTTGTCCCTTCAAATTAAACTTTGGATCAGTAGTAGCTCCAGTTTTCTTCTTTTCATGCACCACCCTGCGAATGGTCCACTCTGGAACGCCTGTCATACTTTCACAACGCGCGAGTGCATCTCCCTGCGACATAGTTCTGTTCAGATAATTGAACACGTTGAGCACGATTTCTTTCGCGTCCCTCTTCAGTGCTTTAGGAAGCCGTCTACTTGTTCCCTGGCTTTCAGTACTTCCACTCGTGCCATTTGTACTCTCCATGGTTAAGTATAACCAAAACAGTAACCACAGAAACCACAACAATAACAATCACACAACAATTCTTATAAAAACACACAATATGCGATCGCTCAACGAAACACGTTCCAATGCGTTGCCGACGCCTATGAGTCTGCCGGTCGAGGCGCGTCTTTGATTTCATTGGTTCTACCGGCGGAGAACAATCAGCCATTATTTCCATCTCTGTCTGTGCTGTTGACCCCCGCAAAGCCACAGAAACGACATATATGTCGTACGCTATACGGCTGTACTGGAAGGAAGCCAGGATCGAGCTCTGATCACGTGTTGATCACGCGTATGAGTCATTACAGTTTTAAATAGTTGTAGTATAGTAGGCAGAATACAATTACCATGTTTGGACTTAAAAATCGTGATATTTGTTTTTTCTGCATTTCATCGTGCAAGCATCCACACGAACGCCCGCAATAGTTCGTGAAGCGGCAAGCATCAATATGACCCGGCGATTCCCTTCGATGCGTGTCCGAAAAAGAGACAATTCACAATCGTGCTCGATCGTTTTTAATCGCAGATTGTGAAGAGGAGCCATTAGATTCGTGATCTATTTTTGATTCCACATTTGTAATCCTGTATATTTTTTCTTTTCAGAAATTTTTGTATGAGTCAAAAGGTAGAAAAACCAGTCTTATCCGGTCAACGTATCAAGACCAGAAAAAGAGGTATGTCTACTGTTAATATTTCTCCCTGCTTTTTTTTGATGAAATTGTATATTTTAGATGAAAAGGAGAGATATGATCCAACTGGGTTTAGAGACGCAATAATCTCTGGACTGGACAAATGTTCTAATGATTTTGAAGCAATTTCACGATATTTGGACGGTGCAGGCAATAAACTAGATTATCGTCGATATGGAGAGTGCCTTTTCGACATACTTATCGCCGGAGGCATTTTGGGTAAGAACATTTCTACCAAAAAGTATATACCATTTGTCATAGCCAGTTGAGAGAAAAAAAATGAAATGAAAACCATTATTTAATGATAATCAAATATGTGTTGAATTTTAAAGAAATGTCATAATACTGAATGAAAGTGAATATGGGCATTTACACTCGCTATGAGTTGTGTTATATTGGTGACAACATAGAATATTCAGTTATTATTTTTTCAAACATGTTTGCTATTGTTATAATCTCACGACTATTACATATAATAATAATAATAATAATATTTATTCACTCAATGTACAAAGATAACAAAAAATATGAGTAAATAAATATAAAATCAAAACAGGCCCAATAGAAGGCATCGCCTGTACATGGACCAATAAATTTAAGTTGAAACTGTAGAATGCAAATGACAAAAAAGGACAAAAATTAGCTACAGTAGATTATGTATTTAGTTGATGTTCGTATTTATGAGTTTATGAATTTCAGTCCTAGATATAGAATGTAGCCACTTTTTTAAATTTCTTTGAAACAATTTCCGAAACGTAAATCTTTTAAGTATTTAGGTATAATTTCATAAAATTTCGCTAAATAGAGATATGCTCGCTGCATTATAGATTTATGCGGTTGAGGAACTACTGTGCCACGAATTTTGTACCTGGTATAATGATTATGTTTAATTTTTTGGTCGGTGTTTACAAATTTATGGTAGTGAGTGATACTTTGTAAGAAATAAAGCTGTCTTATATCATACATTCGAACATCTGCGTATAATTTTTCAGTGGGATAAAGTTTCGGTTTTTTAAATATCATTTTTAGAATACTTTTTTGGAAAACATCTAAATTATAGATATGTGAGGAACATGCAGCTCCCCATGCTAATATACCATAAATATGTGAGATGAGGCTCAATCAGTGCATGGTATAATGTTTGAAGATATTTTTCTGTCAATATATTCCCAAGGTATTTAATTTTGTAGGATACAAATATAACTTTCTTTAAAATATAATTGACATGGATGTCCCATCGTAAGTGAGGATCCAAGACCACTCCAAGGTATTTTATGTTGGGCACTCTATTAATTTGCATTTTTTGATCATTAATATTGAAGGAGAAATTTGTGTAATTTGGCAGATGTCTAGCATAAGATCCAAATGGTAAAAAATGTGTTTTAGAGTAGTTAATGCTTAATTTTCTACTGTTAAACCACCGAATAATTTTGATAAAATCATTTTCAATTACATTTTTCAGATCAGACCAGTCAGTGCCTTCATATAATATTGCAGTATCATCTGCAAAACTAGTTATTTTGCCAACACAATTAATTTGGAAAATATCATTTAAATATATATTGAATAACAGCGGACCTAAGACAGTTCCTTGTGGGACACCAGACTTAATATACATTTCTTTACTAAATGATCCTGATATCTGCACAGATTGTGGGCGATTTGACAAATAACTTTCGATCAGTGAGTACGCGTTTCCTCTGAAACCAATTCTCTCCAATGCTTCTAATAATAATTTGTGATTAACTGTCGAAAGCTTTCTTTAAATCAACAAAAATGCAGATTGAAGGGATTCTGTTATCAATATTTTGATGTATTTGATTTACAATTTTAGTTATTGCGTCCGATGTAGCCTTCCCTTCTGTAAATCCATATTGATTTTCACTTAAAATTTTGAATTTTGTGAGGTATCGAATCATTCTAGTAGATAAAACTTTTTCAAAAACCTTTGCTACACTGGATATTTTTGATATTGGTCTATAGTTGTTAACATCTGTTTTTGTTCCTGATTTATGTATCGGTATTATATTACCTTTTTTTAAAATTGAGGGATATATGCCAGATTCAAAGCATTTGTTGATTAGGTAAGTGAGTGGTTCTGTTATGTCCTCGGCTATAATTTTCAAATGCTCGCTTTTAATACCATCGAACCCAGGACTTTTCCGATTTTTTAAGGACATAATAGTGGTGTATACTTCACATTGCTCGACTTTATCCAAAATAAATGAGTTCAAAGTTCTTTTTGGAGGCTGAGTATTTTGTACATTTGCTTGTATATTACTTCCTAAATTTTCGCCTATGTCAGTAAAGAATTGTACAAATTCATCGCATATCTGTTGAGTATTTTTTAATACTGTTCCCGATGTTGTATTTAACTCAGTGACACACTCTTTAACTTTTGTTTTCCCAGTAATCTCATCAATAGTTGTCCAAAGCCGCTTAGGATCATTTAAGTCATTATTCAATTTATTTAGGTAATGTTTTCGTTTGGTTTGTCTTACAAGCTCTATAAATTTATTTTTATATTGGTTGTAGCAGTCGGTATTCTCTGTAGTTGGCGTTAGTTTCATTACATTATATAGTCTTTCTTTTTCTATTGCCGATGTTATTAATCCTTTGGTAATCCAGGCATTTCTGCTTTTCTCTTTGTGACTAATATACAGGGTTTGTTCGGAAAGTAATAGGACTGAGTCGATTTAAAATGAGCCAATCGTTACAATTCTTTAAAAACTTTCAAAATAGGCTCCTTCTGCGTCGATGCAGCGCTATCAGCGCGATTTCCAAGCATTGAAGGCGCCAGGGAAGGCATTCTCCGGAATAGCCTTGAGAGCCGCGGTGCATGATGCTTGGATCCCCTCTGTCGTCTCAAAATACTTGCCTTTCATCGGCCTTTTCAGGCGAGGAAACTAAAAAAAAGTCCGGGGGGGCACATCTGGGCTGTTATGCGGCTGCGGAAGCGTTGGGATGCCGGCCTTGGTCAGGTAGCTGTTCACAAGAAAGGCGGTGTGAGCCGGGCAACTTATAATCGGCTGCGATGTGTTGTAGTACCCGACTGACCCTTCGTTTGAGTCTCCTGAGCACTTCCACGTAAAACTTGGCGTTGACGGGTTGTCCAGGAGGAACAAATTCATGGTGGACGATGCCTTTGATGTCAAAAAGACAATGAGCATCGTTTTCACTTTGGATTTGCTCATTCTTCCCTTTTTTGGGCGAGGAGACGCCGTCGTGTAGCACTCGGAAGATTGCCTCTTTGTCTCGGGATCATACTCAAAGATCCACGACTCGTCACCTGTGATTACGTTATTCAAAAATTGGGGGTCACTTTGACAATTTCGGGTCGTCAGTGAGCACTTTTGGGACCACCTTCTCGCACACCTTGCGCATGTTCAAATGCTGTGTCACAATGTCATGAACCACAGATTTTGGTAAATTTAACATCTGGGCAATTAAACGAATACTTAGTCGACGGTCTGAGTTCAAAACTTTGCGCACACGAGTGACATTATCGGTGTTTGTCGAAGTCGAACGTCTTTCACCACGGTCTTCATCAGCGACCTCTTCCCGGCCCTCCAAAAAGGCTTGGTGCCACCGAAACACACCACTTCTTGCTAATGCAACACCTGGGTAAGCCTGCTTGATCATATCAAACGTCTCTGTCGCAGATTTACCGAGTTTCACACAGAATTTAATCGCGTACCTCTGTTCTAACGAACGCTGCAGTTTCGGCTTGCACCACTCACAGAAACACGTCGCGCGAAAATGCCTGTCCTGACTCTCCAAGTGCTCGGAGACAACTGACCAGCCGCTCATTCGTTAGCTAGGAACGCCCTCTACCGCGCACGCTCCGAAGTACAGTCATGGCGGAAGAAAATGAGTCCTATTACTTTCCGGACAAACCCTCTTAACTTACTTCATGGTTTTCTTGTATGATTCATCATTTTTATCTGTTTGATAATACACCACATTTCATAATAAACATTATCTTTGTTCTCACATCATTTATAAGGAAAAACAACAAATGGTAATGAACTCATCAGGTTGGCTGTTAGAGAACATAACAGCATCGTTTTTTTTAACAATTGACTAGCATGTACTCTGAGAAAAAGTCAATCCCATGCTGTAATTTGAAGGTTCACATACAATTTCATACTCGGAAGACAAAAGTCTCATCATATAACATGTAAGCCACATACATGGTACATCAACATAAATTTTGTAAAAGGCATTATGGATCAAAACGTTTCTAAGTCACTTAAAGATAGTGATCTTATAATTAGTGGCAATTTGTTAAAAAATGTAATTGCCTAGAAGCCCAGACCATCTTGACAGCTCGTCAGTTGCGAATATATAGGGATAAAAATTCTCTTATTTCTAGTGTTATTATTCGTATATATGGGGTTGTCCGAAACAGACGCAGGAAAGTAAACGCATATTAAAACAAGAAAGATTGATATTCAAATCAAGTTGGTTACTTTATTTTGAAGGTTCATTTATACGATTTATGTATGAAAAATAATATCGCTCAAATGTTGTTTTTGAGTTCTTGGAGGGTGGCTGGTTTGTTGACGTAGACTTTGCTTTTCAAATATTCCCATAAAAAGAAGTCCAAGGGAGTCAAATCGCACGATCTTGGTGGCCATGGCACATTTCCTCTGCGCGAAATCACGCGATCACCGAAGAAGGACTGAAATCGATGGATATTGACGTTGATTGTGTGGCATGTTGCACCGTCTTGTTGGAAATAAACATCGTCCATATCCATTCCTTCAAGTTGCGGCAAAAAATAGTCCTCTATCATCACGTGATATCGCTCAGAATTGACGGTAACGGCGTCCCCGGCCGCATTTTCGAAAAAGTAAGGTCCGATGATGCCTTTTGACCACAATGCACACCACACAGTCACTTTTTGAGGATGCATCGGCTGCTCTTGATACTCACGGGGATTTTCGTTCGCCCAGATGCGGCAGTTTTGCTTGTTTACCGTCCCATTCAAAGTGAAATGCGCTTCGTCACTGAACATGATTTTTGATGAAAAATTGGCATCAATTTGGCGGAGCCAATCTGAGAACGTTCGGCGCGAAAAATGGTCGGCCGGACGCAGCCCTTGCTTCAATTGGATCTTGTAGGCGTGTACATTCAAATCCTTGTGGAGAATGCGGAGCAAACTGGTTCTCGAAATGCCCAATTCTTGGGATCGACGCGTTGTTGATTGTTTCGGATCGTCTCTCACACTCTCCTTCACAACAGCAATATTTTCCGGTGTGCGAACGCTCCTTGGCCGGCCAGAGCCTGGCAGATTTGCCACAGAACCTAATAATAATCAAGACCGAAATAAGCGACACCCCACACAAAAATATCACCATCCTTTGGGTGCCGTCACATATAGGGATCCCTGGTAATGAGTTAGCAGATCGGAAAGCAAAGACAGCTATCAACAACTCAATCCTGTCCATCGAAGAGGTACCAGCTTGTGACGCCACGCTGCATCTAAAGCAGAAAATAATGGAGAACTGGAATGATAACTGGAGAAACAAGCCATCTAAACTACGGGATGTAAAACCGAGCTTTGGAACATGGCAAACCATCACCAGCAACCGACGCATGCAAACCACCATCACACGACTCCGACTAGGACACACACGAGCCACCCACGGATATCTTCTAGCCCAAGAACCTGTGCCTATTTGTGAAATTTGTGACGTGCAGTTAACAGTGAAGCACATTCTAGTGGAGTGCCCAATGCTTGAAGTGTATAGGACAACGTTTAACTTAGAAAACACTCTGATAGGAATTCTAGGTCCAAAATGTAGCATAGCAAATCTTGTAAATTTTCTGAAAGCCACTAACTTTATTTATAAAATATAATCAATTCCACCGCTAATGACCATAAGGTTGAAGCGGATAGTTAAATAAAAAAAAAAAAAATTTGGCGGAGCCAATCTGAGAACGTTCGGCGCGAAAAATGGTCGGCCGGACGCAGCCCTTGCTTCAATTGGATCTTGTAGGCGTGTACATTCAAATCCTTGTGGAGAATGCGGAGCAAACTGGTTCTCGAAATGCCCAATTCTTGGGATCGACGCGTTGTTGATTGTTTCGGATCGTCTCTCACACTCTCCTTCACAACAGCAATATTTTCCGGTGTGCGAACGCTCCTTGGCCGGCCAGAGCCTGGCAGATTTGCCACAGAACCTGTTGCCTCGAATTTACGCACCAGACCGATGGTTGTTTCGTTTGGGCGGTTGTTGCGACCGAAATGTTCACGAAGCGCGCGAAACGTGTTTTTTATTTTTGCACCATTTTTGTAGTGCTCTTTAATAACTTTAATGCGGCCTTCAATCGAATACGACTCCATAGCGATCAATGGTAAACATTCAACTAACAAAATGACATGTCGGTGACAGAAAACAAAGATGGCGTCTATGTCAAATTGACGTTTACTTTCCTGCGTCCCTATTGGACAACCCTTTATATTCGTGAACATCTTCGATGGTTAGGTATGGATCACCTTTTGCCTCGGAAAACATCAAGCACTCATACACATACGGACTTGCCACCAGTCAGAAGCTTCCATTCAGTAAATACATACTGCCTCAGCCGAGTGGCTTCGTCAATAATTGCATATGCTTTGTGCGACTGGAATAGTGAGAAGTAACAAATACGGCAAATCGGCAACACGTCTCGCAATAGGTTGCGGAGGAAATGAATATTTTGAGAAAGTTTTCTGGATATAACATCAATGTGGCTTTCCCATTGGAGCTCGATTTTCATTTTGGATGTTTGTTTCTCTCATAGAGAACACAACTCCTTAATCTTTTTACCATTTAACAACGACTTGTTCGAATAAAATCTGATTTTGGCTTTTTTCCAATTCAATGTCAACTTCCATCAGAGAGTTAGCTGCAACAGATATTGATGTGTCATCTGCAAGGAGGGTATATTTGAGCATTTGAGAAACTACAAATTCTGTTTCCGTTGTAATGGCATGTTGTCTAAGGTCTGTTCCAAAAGTTCTGGTAGGTTATTGGCTATACTACAACTATTTAAAACTGTAATGACTCATACGCGTGATCAACACGTGATCAGAGCTCGTATAGCGTACGACATATGGCTTTGCGGTGGTCAACAGCACAGACAGAGATGGAAATAATGGCTGATTGTTCTCCGCCGGTAGAACCAATGAAATCAAAGACGCGCCTCGACCGGCAGACTCATAGGCGTCGGCAACGCATTGGAACGTGTTTCGTTGAGCGATCGCATATTGTGTGTTTTTATAAGAATTGTTGTGTGATTGTTATTGTTGTGGTTTCTGTGGTTACTGTTTTGGTTATACTTAACCATGGAGAGTACAAATGGCACGAGTGGAAGTACTGAAAGCCAGGGAACAAGTAGACGGCTTCGTAAAGCACTGATGAGGGACGCGAAAGAAATCGTGCTCAACGTGTTCAATTATCTGGACAGAACTATGTCGAATATGAAAGTATGACAGGCGTTCCAGAGTGGACCATTCGCAGGGTGGTGCATGAAAAGAAGAAAACTGGAGCTACTACTGATCCAAAGTTTAATTTGAAGGGACGAAAGGCCGTTAAATTGGATGACGATAGCAAAATGGCGTTAAGGCGAACCGTACATTCATTCTTCTTTAGGAATGAGATACCAACCCTAAAGGCTGTACATGCAGCTATCAAGGAAAATGAAATTATACCCCAAATGAGCGTCGAGGTAATGAGGAAATCCCTGCACGAAATTCATTTTCGTTACGAAACGCGTAATCGGAAGTCGGTATTGATAGAGAGACCTGAAATAGTCGCCTGGCGTCGAAAATACCTACGCGAAATGATTGAATATAGGCGACAAAGCAGAAAAATCTATTATTTGGACGAGACATGGGTAAATGCAGGTCACACAGTTAAAAAAAACCTGGATAGACAAAAACGTAGTGAGTAACCGACAAGCAAGCATTGAAGGTTTGTCAACAGGTCTTCGTGGACCGCCAGGGAAAGGTCAAAGATTGATCGTAACTCATATTGGTAGCGATAGTGGCGTTTTAGAAGAGTGTTACTTGATTTTCGTCTCTAAGAAAGGAGGTGATTACCATGACGAAATGAATGCCAGCTGCTTCGATAGCTGGTTTCAAGGGGTGCTTCAGCGAGTTGAGCCCAACTCTGTGATCGTCATGGATAATGCTTCCTACCATAGTCGTCGAGCCGAACGTGTACCGACTATGGGATCTCGATAAAGTGACATGCAGCAATGGTTGCGCGAAAAAGGAATCCCGTTTGACGATTCATGTGTGAAAGCTTAATTGTATAAAAAAAAAGAGCACAAACCTGCGAACATTAGTTACGTGACTGATGAGATGGCCCGTCAATGTGGTGTCACTGTGCTGCGGTTACCGCCTTACCACTGTGATCTGAACCCAATAGAGCTCATCTGGGCTCAAGTGAAGGGTTATATTGCGCGCCATAACACAACCTTCAAATTACCAGACGTTAAGGTTTTACTTGAGACTTCCATACAGCTAGTAACGCCCGAAGCTTGGCAGAATGCTATCCGACATGTTGTGAAGGAAGAAACAAAAATGTGGCAGCTTGACCACCACATCGACACCATCATAGAGCCAGTTATAGTCAATTTCAACGAGGAAAGCGATAGCGACAGTTTATTACTGTCAGATGTAAGTGGAAGCGATGATGAATAAAGGTAATTCCCAAATTTTTGACTTACAATATGTTTCAAACCACTCTTTATTAAGCATGTGACAAATCTAGTTCACCCATGTTAAACATTCATACCCTGCCTATGAACAGCCGACTACTGGTAGTTAAGTGATGTTCACGTGAACATCGATGAGTCATTACAGTTTTAGATAGTTATAGTATAGTTATACGTAAAGTTTCAATTGAGCTTGGTATTTTCTGGTGAATATGTGAATCGATGCTTAGAGTTGACTGAATTTTTTGTTGTGTCAGTACCGGGGGGCAGTTTGTCTCAGGAAGGTGACGGCCCGCACAAGACGGAGGCGTGTATTTTCAACACCCCGGACGAGATCAACATGGAAATGATGAAGAACTGGGAACAGGTCTTTATCAAACTTATGCGACGATACAAGTACTTGGAGAAGATATTCCAGGTAAGAGATCGCAAATTCACGACGGCTTATTTCCAGGAAAACCTTAGTTTTGGGATGATCCGCATGCTACCAGTCCTGTTTCTGAATTCCAGGATGAAATAAAGAAGGTGTTGGTGTTCGTGAAGTACTTCTCGCTCTCTGAGCGCAAAAAGCTCTCCGTGATGGTCTACCTGTGGATCGCGAACGGCAGCGTCCCGTTCAACGCGATCGTCGTCCTCAACAATTCCCACTTGGTCAAAGACAACCTCGCGTTGGACTTCATCATCGACATCTTCAAGGTGTGGCGGCAAGAGAAGGGCGTCAACTCGCTCTATTCGGCCATAAAGAAATCGAATATCGAATCTCACCTGACCAGTTTCATACCGGACACGAAACAGTCCCAGCTGTATTTCCGCAACGCGTTTCTGGACAACGGGCTGGACGAGATCCTGAAGCTGTACAACGACCAGCATCAGCAGCAAGCGAAAAAGGAGTTGCAGCGATTGCTCGCCGACAATCTGGCGGAGAATAAGCAGTTGAAGGATATCATCGCCGAGATCAAGGAGACGGCACAGAGAGAGAATATCCAAGAGCACGAAACCGTTTGCATCATATGGACGACCGTTATGGATTTGCCCGAGTGGTCTAAGAAAGAGGTGAGACTATGAGATATGCTTGATTTTTTTGTGTTTTATTTTCGTTAATATAGTACAAACATATTCGTCGACGATGTGTTCCCTTCACTGTTGTTTAAAAACAATTTCAGCAACAATCCTCCAGACGATGAAGACATAGATCTTCGAAAGCTTGAGAGTTTAAGTTATAAGAGTGCACTTTTGCAATAGAAATTAAAGGATATTTTCTCCTAACAGTTAAGGCAATCAACTATGAATATACAGGGTGACAGGTAAATAGGTGTAAAACATTTTAGGAGGTGATAGTGCAGCTCCTTTGCTATCAAAATTAGTATATAATACCATACCCTATATTCAAAGGTTAAAAAGCTATGGAAGATTTAATTTTTTAAAAATAAACAACCCAGATTACAGAGTAAAATAGTTGAAATAAAAAAAGTTGGTGATTAAACATTCTTTTTTTGGTGGTTTCAGGTTATTATTTAAATAAATAATTCTCATAAATTAAAAAACAAATGAAAACACTACTGAAAACGTATTTATTTTCATTTAAATGTTAAATGAAAATTTTTATTTTCAACTTTCACATTAAGAAGTCTTTTTTTTCAAAAAAATCATAATAAAGAAAATGTACAAATAACTGCAAAAACTTCCTCGTTTCATTAGGTTTCTAAAATGGTATAATAACATATCAGTAAGTAAACCATTTAACAAAACAATATTACTTTGCTAGAAAGGACCGCTAAGCGCATTTCATTGTACTGAGCACGTAAACCGAGCGTTTCATGGTTCGACCCTTTTTGTTATGTTTTGTGCCCTGTGCCGTTATTCGGGTTTAAGTATTCGGAATCTGTCGTCGCTCCTCGGAAGCAAGCTCTGCGTATGTTATGAATTGACACAGCTGACGGATCAAGGAAAGGGAACTAACGCTTAGGTTAGTTAGTAGAATATCAACCTTTAACGCGGTAAGACGTACTTTTACTTTTTTGATCAGTTTTAATAATGGCGAGTTACCGTAACGAAGAATACGCTGATATTCTGTTTTGTTATGGTTTAAGTGATGGAAATTCCGTTGAAGCCAGGCGAGAATACGAAAACCGTTTTCCGAATCGGCGAATACCGAGTCATCGAGTATTTGCTTCTGTGTACCAACGCGTCAAGGAAAGTGGACATGTTCATGAGAGACGTCATGATGCTGGTAGACCTCGGTTGTTTGACGACAAAGATCGAGAGGCAATACTGGAATGCTACGGCAGAGACCCGACGACGTCTACACGAGTTATAGCAAAGCAGCTTGGTTTAACTCAGTGGAAAGTTTGGTTCGTTTTGCATTCGGCGAGACTTTACCCTTTCCATTACACACCGGTTCAAGTATTAGAAGAAGGAGATCCCGCAAGAAGAACCGATTTTTGTCGATACATGCTTCATCGGGATCAAGAAGAAAACGACTATTTAACTAAAATATTGTGGACCGACGAGTCTAAGTTTGACAGAGAGGGCACAACAAATTATCACAACTTACATTATTGGGCCCCACGAGAGGCAAATCCCCACATGGCAAAGGCAAGAGCCCATCAAAGAAGATTTTCGGCAAACGTGTGGATGGGAATCATTCATACGTATCTAATTGTACCAGTTTTTTGCCTGACAACCTGAATGGCGAATCCTATGAACACTTTTTGAGATCCGAACTCTGGGAGTATCTCGAAGACCTGCTTCTGAATATCAGGATGCAGATGATCTACCAACACGATGGCTGTCCCGCGCATTTCCGTCTGGGTGTTAGACAGGGCCTGGACGAGAAATATCCTTGTCGCTGGATTGGCCGAGGTGGACCGACACCGTGGCCAGCGAGGAGCCCAGATTTAACACCGTGTGACTATTATTTATGGGGGCACATGAAGTCACTGGTGTACGCTGAGCCCATAGACACTCTTGCACAGTTGAAAGAAAGAATTATTGCTGCTGCTGACACTATCAAAGGACAACTAACTGTCCGCATCACGCGTACCAACATGAGAAAAAGACTACGGGCTTGCATAAGAAACGGCGGGCGTCAGTTCGAACAACAATTGCAATGAATTTTACCTTCATTTTATTATTGTATTTTACTTACCAATTGTAGTAACTTTTAGTCAGTTTTTATTATTCTGTAGTACAATTACAACTGTGTAAATAATCTAATCGTGTAACTTAACCGTAGTTTAAAATAATAACTATCCCATAGCTTACAGTTACATTATTTTCACAAAAACACTTTCTTATCAATCAGAGAGTTGTGAAAATAGGAGACAAGCCATTGGTAAATTTACTCGATATTGTTGTATTACAATACATTATGTTTAGTTTCACACAGTTTTTGCGCACTTATCATACCAATTTAGATTCCTTATGAAACAAGGATATTATTTAAATTGTTTGTACGTTTTTTTGTATACTGATTTTTTTGTAAAACACCTTACTTACTGTAAAACGTTATATGTTTTTTTTAGTTAAACATTTTTGAATGAAAATAAATACGTTGTTTGGTATTGTTTTCGAGTCTTTTTTAATTTATAATAGTTAATTATTGAAATAATAACCCAAAACCACAAAAAACAGATGTTTAATCGCCAACTTTTTTCTCTCTCGACTGTTTTACTCTGAAATATGGATTGTTTTTAAAAAAATCTTAAATCTTCAATAACTTTTCAACCTTTGAATATAGGGTATGGTATTATATACTAATTTCGATAGCAAATGGGCTGTACTATCACCTCCTAAAATGTTTTACACCTATTCACCTGTCACCCTGTATAAATATAAATTGGGAAATTGGAAAGTTTTTTAGGCTTTAGTAAACTCTTAACGGTAATCTCGAGCTTTCGGCATTCTCTATGGAGCCATCTGCAGGAGCTGAAAACACAGTTATGATGCTAGCAACCAATACGAAAAGGATCTAAATTGTCAGACAACTTACTCGTCGTTGAGGTTGCGTCGTCATCAATAAAGCCAATGTGTCCGTCCTTTTGGTTTTATATTTGTAACAAGTGCTCTCATCCACGCGTTCGTTTTGAAACACCATTTGGCTGCAGCCTCAACGACGAGTAAGTTCTCTGACAATTTAAATCCTTCCCGTATTGGTTGCTAGCATCATAGTTGTGTTTTCAGCTCCTGCAGATGACTCCATAGAGAATGCCGAAAGCTCGAGGTGACAATTGATTGTATATATATACATATATAATTTTTTTTCAGGAACTGGTGACTGACCAAGCCGTAAGGCACTTGAAATATTACACTTCCCTATTCGAAGCTTTTACCCAATCAGCAAGGGCTGAACTCAGCCTGCTACTGAAGATTCAGGACTACTGTTACTCAAATATGACGTTTATGAAAGCATTTCAGAAGATTGCGATGCTTTTCTATAAAACGGACGTTATCTCCGAACAGACCATACTTAAATGGTAATTTTTTTTTAACGATTTTGTCGATATTCTATCGTGTTAAGGTACGCGTCCACTTGTCCGCATTGCCGTTGATACAGCGGTCGCGCCACCTTAAATTAGTCGGCCAGCCCGTGATTTGTGCAAAATAATTTTCAGGTATAAACAAGACTACAACGTCAAAGGAAAGATGATGTTCGTGGAGCAAATGAAAGAATTCATCGATTGGCTGCAGAATGCGGAAGAAGAGAGCGATTCCGACGGTGATAGTGATTAGGTAAGTTTTTTCTTTGATACCGACTAGACCAAGGAAATAAGCGAAAAACAAAACTTCATATGACCGTATGTCCTAAATGTCTTAACTTTTGAGATATAGGGTGGTGGTAGTAGTAGAAAGATTTATTTACGAGGGTGGAATTTTACGAATACTTTTCTTAGCCAATCACGAGCGCTGTCACATTGCAGGTTCTTGCAGTGTAGTGTATTAGGAGTGGGGATAACGCGTGGTGAGCTGTTCCACTCGGTCGTCCACAATAAAGCCCAGATTTTGTCACCATGTGACTATCATTTGTTTGCGCCCATGAAAGATAATTGCAATTTTTATGCGAAAAACGAATGTTTGAAATTTGAAAAACACAGGACTTAGATTTTTTATATTCTTCTTTTAACTATTATGACTTAGCTTATCCCCCGTTTAGAGCTCGACGTCGGCTTCTGGGACACGCTGCATTGAAATGTTAAATTAATAAAACATATCTATTAGCAAACTATTTCATTCCTTTGAATATTGCATTTATTCCTCCGAAACCAATCTCCTTCAATCTAGCGTAAGACGTACGACCTGCGCTTCACACTCCTTCCACGCGAGCGGAATCGCGGATTTATCCCATTAGACATGCTATGATTCAGCACCCCACTTTCCGCCTAAGATGCGATTGGTAGAGAAACGGGCATGTGACTGTGACGTAATCGAGAGCGTTCCGGTACGCTTGGCCGGCGCACCACGCACTGCTGCTGATCAGTCGATCTTTGGATGTCGTCGAGGCATCACGTCGCGCGCGTCGTGTACAAACAAACATCTGCGGGTTCGAATGTGATGTTAGATTGTTTCATCGTGTAGCGTGCCGAATTGCAGTGATTCTGTGGTGTATGTTACCTATTGGATACATTTGGAGACACGACAAGGCCTGCTTACGGTTTGGTAATGAGACACATAAAAATATCCGACTAATAGTAAAAATGTTATGGCCGAAAAACGAGGCAAAATGCAGGTTTCTGCACTTGTTGGTAATGCAACGATAATTTTACGCTACTGCTTCAAATTCTTCAAAGCAGTATGATTCATACTTCTAAATAACAACAACAACATTTGAGTAGATTGGTCTAATAGTTTTTGAGAATTTCTAATTGTTTATCCCAAAACACCTGTTTTCCGGCTATCTGTACTAGTTTATTGGGGTCAGTTCAAATGACATTTTATAGCAACAGACACTAGTTTACCTTGCCGATATGAATCGCAAACCATTGCGGAAGATAAAAAAGGACGGGTTACTTTTTTTCTTCTAAACAAATTCAAACGTTTCGCATTTATTCAATTACTCACAAATACGAAATGTTTGAATATGTTTAGAAGAAAAAAATTTAACTTTTGGTTTTCGCATAAAAATAACATTTAAGTATCAAAACCTGGTTTTTCGGTCATAACATTTTTGTTATTAGTCGGATCTTTTTACGTGTGGTCTCATTTCGTAGGTCTCATAAATACCTAAAAATCTTATACAGGGTGTTTCAGTTTATTGTTGCATAACTTTAAGATTCAATAGAACTTTTAAAATTAATGTATAAAGTCTATATAAACATTGGTCGAAAAATGCGTGGCTTCCGAAATACAGGGTGTTTAAATTTACTTTTTAAAATAGTTTTTTTTTTAATTATTTCGAACAATATTTGATGTATAACAGTGAAAATTGATATACAAGGGTTTTTTGGTACGACAAAACGAACCATGGGCATAGTTTTACTGTAGCCGCTAGAGGGCGCTCTCCAAATAAACACAGAAAACAGAATATTAATTCGTTTAATTTTCCAATATTATTATTAACAAATTAAATTAATTATTTACAACTAAAATGCTATTGGATAGTTAGGACAAACATACAAAATCTAAAGTAGTTGCTCGAATTGTAAACCCAATTGTTCAATACACAATTCACATCTACGAATGATCGAACGCATTATTCAAATAAGGCCTTATTTCATCACATGCATTCCTGATTCTGTCTATTAGCATATCTCTTGTGGTTACGGGAGTCTGGTACACTTTTTCTTTTAGAAATCCCCACACAAAGAAATCTAATGGATTTAGGTCAGGGGATCGTGGAGACCAGGCGACTGGTCCTCCACGGCCGATCCATCTTTCTGGATAATTTTCGTCCAGCCAGTTTCTAACTATTCTCGAATAATGAGCTGGACAACCATCAAGCTGGAACCAGGCCAATCTTCTTAAATCTAACATAACATCATCCCACATATTTGCATGTTCAGCCTTTAAAACTTCCAAGAAGGTCGCAGCATTTAACCTTGCAGGCAAAAGGTAGGGTCCAAATAGTCGATTACGGTAGATACCAATCCACACGTTCACACTAAATTTCTTTCCCGAACTGCATGCGGATTTTCATGCGACCAAATATGTTGATTATGAAAATTTACCACTCCACGTCTAGTGAAGCATGACTCATCGGTCCATAAAACGTTACTTAAAAACTCCCTATTATTATCAGTTCTATCAAAAATCCACTGACAAAATGTGATTCTTCGTTCTCCGTCCCCTGGCTGTAGTCCTTGCACAGGTTGCAAATGGTAAGGTCGTCTATGGTCATTTCTAAGAACATGGCTTGCTGAAATTCCCAAGGCACCAGACACTCTCCTAACACTTGTGGTCGGATCTCTATCAAACTCACGCAGAATCATACGGGTAAATCTGCGCTGCCGAACATTTATGTTTTGATCCCTTTGGAGATTTCCAAAACCATTTTCAATTATTTGGCGATGCACTCTTACAAATACTGAGCGAGTTGGATGTCGTCTGTTTGGAAATCTTCGTGCGTATTCTCTGGCTGCTTCTGCTGCGTTGCTATTTACAAAGCCATACGCAAAATGAATATCCGCTAACTCTTGATTGGAGAATAAAAATCGCATTTTTATAAAACTTACAAAAAAAAAAACAGGTAAAAGAAACTAAATTTCGTGCATTCACAATTGCAAAAAAACGATTCAGGTTACAACAGACAACAAAACTAACTGTCAACTAATTGACGTTTAACCTTATTCTGCTTTCAATTTCAAAAATATTTGCAGGCACAGCCTACTTCTAAAAATTATCGAGATACTGACTTTTTAACGTTATTTTATCATAAATAATTAAAAATGCATCGAACCTTAAAAATCGAAATATCTCAAAAACGGCAAACTATAACGAAAATTCACAAGAGAGCTTTTTTATGTTGGAAAGTGCGAAGAGTTAGTTTTTTTATTCAAAAAGCAAAAAATTGCACTAAGGAAAAATTTTCGGTCATTTTAATACACTACAGGTACAATAGAGGCTACAGTAAAACTATGCCCATGGTTCGTTTTGTCGTACAAAAAAACCGTTGTATACCAATTTTCACTGTTATACATCAAATATTGTTCGAAATATTTAAAAAAAACTATTTTAGGAAGTAAATTTAAACACCCTGTGTTTCGGAAGCCACGCATTTTTTGACCCATGTTTATATAGACTTTATGCGTTAATTTTAAAAGTTCTATCGAATCTTAAAGTTATGCAACAATAAACTGAAACACCCTGTATAAAAAGTTTTTTCGTTCCTGTCAACACTTTCGATTGAATCCCAAAAAAACGTTTTCTCATTCTTTGTTGTCAAATAAAAAGTTTTCCCACAAAAATTGGTGTACCCATTTTATGCGTTCATGTTTTGAATAACTTGCATCAACAAAACCAGACTTCACAATTATTTTGGGGAAATTTGCTAATATGATTAGAATTATGAATTGTTTTATATCCATATTCAGTCTAAAAGTATTAATAAAATCCAGCACACCATGAAATTCTATAACAGAAACGAAATAATAAACAGTTGAGTCAACTTGCAGAAGAGTGCAACTATGCATCAACAACGATGGCAAACAGTTTGAGCGCCTGACCACATGTCAGTAACCTTTTCTCCAAATAGCTGGAAAATCAAATAAAAGTTTTATAATACAGCTTTTTATTGACTTCGTTCAGAGTAATTTCCACCACATTCAATGCACTTCTGCGTTTGTCAAAACCACTAAAACCAGCTCTGCCAAGTTTCACCCGAGAGTGCGGCACCCTCGTTGTCTCAAGGTCCTCATCGCTAGAAAATCGTTTGACATTTTAGGAAGTTGAAAATGATTGGCCAGTTTCGTTTTGAATTTCATCATCAATTTGATATTATGCTTCGTTTTCAGGTGATAGAGGAACTAAAATCAGTGCCACCAACAACTCCAACCAACAAAATAAAATAAAAAAAAAACACTAAGCAAACTGGATATCGGGTAACATTTTTTCCGATGTATTGAAATTATGTGACGTTATTGTGTAAAAATTATATATGTATTTCTGGTGCCTTACTCTTGTGTCAGCGTAAATCGTCGTGGCTTGTGCCAGCAGGCAGCAATAGGTTCATGACTACATTGGGACTCTGCGAAATTGACGACACTTGTAATTATGAATTTTGTCAAAACAATATTCTAGTAAATCAGTAAATGGAAATAGTGTAGTATATTATTATATTTGATGCATCGGAAAAAATGTAATTTGGAAGTTATTATATTATAGAATGCCAACATAGACAGAAGCAGTTACAAAATTCACTGTTATATATCATTGTCAATTTTTTTAATATACAGAAGAATTTTAATCCAATGTGTTTTCATTCTTCCTCGTCAATGCAGAATCTCTGGTATCAGGTCTTTGGGATACTATTACACTATCCGTTTATATTTTTCACGACTTTGTTGGGTTCTTCTGGAAATTTCAAGATATCATCAAAGGTAAGTTTATTTAGTATCTAACGCGTCATATAATTTTTATGATAAGGTGGATCTATTAGGAAGCACAACCATACATTTTTTATTTGGGCTCTTCGGAAAAAAATGGCGTACGCCCATGGTGATTGTTAGGATAATTATCAGTAGTTTCTGACGGATCCGTCAACGTCAGATAGACGGTTTGACGACACTTGTAATTATGAATTCTGTCAAAACAATATAGTAAATGGAAATAGTGTAGTATATTATATTTGATGCATCGGAAAAAATGTAATTTGGAAGTTATATTATAGAATGCCAACATAGAAACAGTTACAAAATTCACTGTTATATATCATTGTCGATTTTTTTAATATACAGAAGAATTTTAATCTACCAAGTTTTCATTCTTCCACGTCGATGTAGAATTTCTGGTATAACGTCTTTGGAATACTATCAAAATAACATCCGTTTATATTTTTCACAACTTTGTCGGGTTCTTCTGAAAATTTCAAGATATCATCAAAGGTAAGTTTATTTAGTATTTAATGCGTCGTATCATTTTTATGATAAGGTGGATTTATTGGGAAGTATAACCATAACATTTTTTATTTGGGCTCTTCGGAAAAAAAATTGCGTACGCCCATGGTGATTGTTAGGATAATTATCAGTAGTTTCTGACGTATCCGTCAACGTCAGGTAGACGGTTTGACGACACTTGTAATTATGAATTCTGTCAAAACAATATTATAGTAAATCAGTAAATGGAAATAGTGTAGTATATTATATTTGATGCATCGGAAAAAATGTAATTTGGAAGTTATATTATAGAATGCCAATATAGAAACAGTTACAAAATTCACTTTTATATATCATTGTCGATTTTTTCAATATACAGAAGAATTTTAATCTACCAAGTTTTCATTCTTCCACGTCGATGTAGAATTTCTGATATAACGTCTTTGGAATACTATCAAAATAACATCCGTTTATATTTTTCACAACTTTGTCGGGTTCTTCTGGAAATTTCAAGATATCATCAAAGGTAAGTTTATTTAGTATTTAATGCGTCGTATCATTTTTATGATAAGGTGGATTTATTGGGAAGTATAACCATAACATTTTTTATTTGGGCTCTTCGGAAAAAAAATTGCGTACGCCCATGGTGATTGTTAGGATAATTATCAGTAGTTTCTGACGTATCCGTCAACGTCAGGTAGACGGTTTGACGACACTCGTAATTATGAATTCTGTCAAAACAATATAGTAAATCGGTAAATGGAAATAGTGTAGTATATTATATTTGATGCATCGGAAAAAATGTAATTTGGAAGTTATATTATAGAATGCCAATATAGAAACAGTTACAAAATTCACTGTTATATATCATTGTCGATTTTTTCAATATACAGAAGAATTTTAATCTACCAAGTTTTCATTCTTCCACGTCGATGTAGAATTTCTGGTATAACGTCTTTGGAATACTATCAAAATAACATCCGTTTATATTTTTCACAACTTTGTCGGGTTCTTCTGGAAATTTCAAGATATCATCAAAGGTAAGTTTATTTAGTATTTAACGCGTCATATAATTTTAATGATAAGGTGGATTTATAGGGAAGCACAACCATACATTTTTTATTTGGGCTCTTCGGAAAAAAAATTGCGTACGCCCATGGTGATTGTTAGGATAATTATCAGTAGTTTCTGACGTATCCTTCAACGTCAGGTAGACGGTTTGACGACACTTGTAATTATGAATTCTGTCAAAACAATATAGTAAATGAAAATAGTGTATTGTACGTATATTATATTTGATGCATCCGAAAAAACAGTAATTTGGAAGTTATTATATTATAGAATGCCAACATAGACAGAAGCAGTTACAAAATTCACTGTTATATATCATTGTCGATTTTTTTAATATACAGAAGAATTTTAATCTACCAAGTTTTCATTCTTCTACGTCGATGTAGAATTTCTGGTATAACATCTTTGGAATACTATCAAAATAACATCCGTTTATATTTTTCACAATTTTGTCGGGTTCTTCCGGAAATTTCAAAATATCAAAGGTAAGTTTATTTAGTATTTAATGCATCGTATAATTCTTATGACAAGGTGGATTGATTCGCTTGCACCACCATACATTTTTCATTTACGCTCTTAGGAAAAAAAATTGCGTACGCCTATGGTGATTGTTAGGATACTTACTAAATAGTATAGACACTGTCTGATTATCTAGTAATATTTCAAAATTCCCCATATCGACAAGTGACATTTCTGACGGATCCGTCAACGTCAGGTAGACACATTGGGACTCGGTGAAATTGATGACACTTCTGATTATGAATCTTTGAATATGTTTACAAGATTTATCAAAATTCAATAAATAATTCTTAATCTACTGTTTTCATTCTTCTTCGTCGATATAGAATCTCTTGGGGACATGGGATAACGTCTTTGGATTTCTATCCAATAAGCATCCGTTTGTTTTTCACAACTTTGTCGGCAAAGTTAACATTAAACCGATTTTTTGCGAAATTCCTATTTACGTTAGTTGTGGATACGAAGGCATAACGTTTCACAGGTTAGTATTTTGAAAAGACCGAGCTAAGTTTTTTTATTCCTAAACTCCTACCGATGTATACAGACTGTGGAACATAAGTCAGACCAAATCGTCTGTTGTTCTGAACAATACTTTTATTTAACATACTGTTTGAATAATGAACTTATATAACTGATAATCTCATTTTGATGGGCTGGAAGATTAGATGAGTAAGCGTTTCTGAAATCCCATCTTGAAGACAGATGGCTCCATACTTTTTCTGGTCTCAAACCCATTGGCGCTTGCAGCAGATTTAACCAGTGTGGTTTACATTCTCCAGTCAGTAACTAAAAAAATAACAGAAAATGTTGTAGTCGAAATTTGACTAGATTTATTCAGTTGTATCATAAAATTTGAAATAATTTAACAATATAACAGGAATCTTGTCACATTTCTGTCTCAATAGAAAATATGTGTCTTATTTTTAACAGGCGCGTAATGTTACAGAGGTGTAAGCTTCTTAATAATAGAGCCTCTTTCACTGATGCCAAACATGCAGACTTTACAACAGCCACTTTTCAAGCCTTAAAAAAAATGTCAAGGAAGTGTCACTTTTTGCCAATTGCTCCGCTATTACTGAATCATTACTCAAACCCCTGAAGTTTTTTCGTTCGTGGCATGTACTGTATTTCGACGTCCAAAAAGACATCTGAAAGATTCTAGCGCCATCTGGGATACCTTATCACACCATTTGTTGACGACAATTTGCAATGTACATGTGGGATCTTACAAATTAATTTATTATCTATCCGAATGACGTCATATCATGTACTCGTCAACTGAATAGAATCAGTGGTTAGGCAATAATCAGACAAATGAAAGTATACGCACTATCAAAAGACTGATACAACTGACCCAACCAAAGACTTGTACTGAAAACCATACAATAACACAAAAAGTTTGTCAAATTTATACAAACGATAAGAGTAGTGAATAAAAAACGCACTGGTTGAGAATATCAAAAAATCTGTGTAATAACATTCTTCTTTTTAAAAATCTTTAATCTTTTACTATCTTTTTTATTATGCAAATTTTATATAGGAGATAAATGACTCAACTTTAAAAACACACTGAATTTTTCTGATAAATATCGCTGATCAACAGCCAAAAAATATCCTAAATAAAATCAACAAAATATTACTATTTTTAATGTGCTAAAACCGGAATGAAACTTATTTTTTCAATATTAGTTCAAGTTTTAGAGATACGATAATTATATGTGTTCCTGCTGTGACAGTGTTAATATACTGTAATTCACAAGAATGCACGTGCTACATTTTTATATTCGGCAAGGAAAGATGATGTAATCGGCATGATTGTGTTACGTTATACATACGTGTACATTATATTGTTTTATATTAGCCATTTTTTCCTCAGTTGGCTGACAGCGTTCATGCAAGATGTCTTGAAAGTGTGTAAACAATCCAGATCAGTTTTGTTACGTGTGTGGTGATGTGACCTTTGCGTCTCAGAGACGGTCTATTACTCCACTAATAACAAAGGCATATCAGCTTTATTTCGGTTATAAACTAGGTGATCAAGACAAACAGTGGGCACCCCACATCTGCTGTAATCTGTAATACATGTGCTTCAAGTCTGAGGAGCTGGTTAAATGACAAAAAACGGTCTATGCGCTTTGCTGTCCCAATGGTTTGGAGAGAGCCTACAAAGCATATTAATGATTGTTACTTTTGCATGGTACCTTGTGTTGGACAAGCCACAGGTATGTCCAAGAAAAAAAATCGGTTATTAACTACCCAAACGTACCATCTGCGATGAGACCTGTGCCTCACAGTGACGAAAATCCTATTCCAAAACCCCCAGAATCCTACACTTGCGAATCAGAAAACGAATCAGATCATGGCGATCGAGTGATTCGTCAGGAAGAAGATATGCCATCAACGTCAAGAGATCTTGATTTTATACCGAGCACGTCATGCCACCAACCGCACAAAATAACACAGTCAGAATTAAATGATCTTTTAAGAGATTTAGAACTTCCAAAATGTAAGGCAGAGTTATTTGGATCAAGACTGCAGCAGTGGAACTTGTTAGAAGACGATGTTTCGGTATGTGTTTTTCGTAAACGCCACAAAGACTTAGAACCATTTTTCAATATGGAGAATAACTTTGTTTTCTGCAGTAACATTAACGGCTTCCTTAAATATAAACTATAACCCAGAAGAATGGAGATTGTTTATAGACAGTTCAACATTGAGTTTAAAGGCAATGTTATTGCATATTGGAAATATTTTACCATCTCTTCCTGTAGGGTATGCAGTTCACATGAAAGAATCATATGACAATATGAAGTACCTATTGACATGCATAAAATACGATGAGCACCAATGGCATATTTGTGGCGATTTGAAAGTTGTTGCACTTTTACTTGGGCTGCAGCTAGGCTACAGAAAGTTTTGCTGTTTTTTGTGTGAATGGGACAGTCGGGCAAAGGCACTTCATTACACCAGACAAAACTGGCCTGTTCGTCAATTCCTAGAGCCAGGTTAAAAAAATGTACAGCATATGCCATTAGTAGATTCGAAAAAAATTTCATTACCACCACTGCATATCAAGTTGGGCCTAATGAAAAACTTTGTCAAGGCATTAGATAGAGAAGGGTCAGCTTTTCAATACCTGCGTCAGAAATTTCCAAGACTAAGTGAGGCAATGGTTAAAGAACGTATTTTTGTTGGGCCACAGATTCGAAATATTTTGAAAGATACACAGTTTGAAAACACTAACAGGTATTGAAAAAACTGCTTGGAATGATTTCCGTCTGGTGGTCACTAATCTCTTGGTAAATAGAAAAGCTGACAACTATAAAACCCTTGTCAAAAATATGCTGTCATCGTATCAAAAGATGGGCTGTAATATGTCTCTTAAGATACATTTCCTACACTCACACCTGGACTTTTTTCCTGACAATTGCGGAGCCGTAAGTGATGAGCACGGCGAACGTTTTCATCAGGATATGGAAAAAAGGTACCAGGGAAAGTGGAGTCCTTCCATGCTTGCAGACTACTGTTGGACTCTTGGTAGAGATGCTCTAAAAACGATCCATAAAAGAACAGCAAAAAGACAGCGCATATAGTGATTCTTATAATAAGTATATGAATCTTGTTACTTTTTTTAATATATCCTTAAAAATAAAAAGTTTTTTTTTCTAAACCGCAACTAATTTTTTTATTTCATTGTCATTTTTGGATTCAGCGCCCCAAAATTAACAAAGAAGTGCACTTTCCCATAAGATACAATTAAAAAACTAAAATTTGTTGTCCAGTGATATCCCTTGGCCTATCCCAGGTATCCGGTTTGACGCCGACTTCTGGGACACCCTGTATAAGGCGGTCCCATGTTTGTGAAACATGAGTTAGAGTATTCAAACCGCAATGATAAATCTCTAGCGGACGAAGTTTTAGATGAAAAATGCATGCCTGGGATCCGGCGACCAATAGGTATACTGCGGTGAAAAAAATTAATTGTCTAAGTTCTGCTCACCGAAAAGAATTGAAGTGTACTCAAATTTGATCAAGTACTTGACACCTGCATATTTCCATTTAAAATCATAACAATAAAAAATTATTTATTACGTATTTATTTTTTTTTATATTATTTAGCGTACGTTTATCGGTGTGGAAACTGAAATAATGATCCATACCTCATCAAATTTGTGGTATCCTATATGAAACATCGTATGAGTCAGGCTTAGTTGGGCAGGTTTCGATCTACTAGCTTCCTGCACTCGACTTTTATCTCCACTAACTCCCAATTGCTGATAGATCCATTCCTTATTCCCTTTGATAAAATGAAACAACGTTTTCAAACTGCATTTTCCGTTATCTGTCATCAGTATATCACTGACCAACAAATCTGCCATCTGAGAAGTCGACTCGATCCTGTCTAGAGCACTCGTCACTTTGTCAGTGTTCTTGGCGTTCTCTAAAAATTCTTCGATTTGATCTGTATGTTTGTTATCTTCATCGACACTGCACAAAGCTTCTGCGACTGCTAGGAGAATTTCATCTTTCGATTGATAGCTTGCCTCAGCGCTAGTGACTGAAATTTTTTGACGGACTTTGTCCTTGTCAACGCAAACTTTATTTTTGGCGAGAGCTTGCGAATCGTTCAAAAACTTAGTGTACAAAGCGTTGACGACGATTTGAAGTAGACAGGATTGATGTAGAGGTACAACATTGAAAGGCATATAATTTTGTAGCAAATCTGCGATTTTTCTGAGGACCGGATGTACGCAGTCCCAAAGTAGGCTCAAACAGGACAAGGTAAGCGCCATAGCTTGATACATTGTAGCCCCGCTTTCAACTGCCGAACTGACGGTGTCTGAAGTGATTTGGAGTAAGGGGTCTACGAAGTCTGTCATAGCCTCGAACCACGGTGGGCGTATTTGGTTCCACACCTGAAATGTTATACAAGGTTTGTCGAAATAAGACAGCACGAAGTGGCATCTATTTTATTCATCTGTCTCCTGCTTGGAAGACTGTATATTCATTCAATGTCAGATGAAATTACTTCGAAGCTGGTAGTGCGTTTTAATATACGAGTTCTGTTGATTAAGTGATGAGATTGGCAACGTGGCAAGTTAGGTATGTTTGAGTTATCTCAAGTTGTGCTCAAGCTATTCCTAAGGTATGATCATTCAAGCTATACTCAAGCAATGCTCGAGATATCTTCAAGCTATGCTCAGGCGATCTCAAGCTATGCTCAAATTATGATCTAGCTATGCACAAGCTAGAGAGTTTTAAGTTATCTCAAGTTGGGCCCAAGCTATTCTCAAGATATGTCAAGATTTGCTTAAGCGATACTCAGGTTATATTCAAGATATGTTGAGGCGATCTCAAGCTCTGCTCAAGTTATCTCAATTTGTGCTCAAGCTGTGATAATTCCATCTCAAGATATGTACAAGCTTTCTCAGGCTCTGCTCAAACTATCTCAAGATATCTCGATCTATGCTCAAGCGATACCCAGACTATGCTCAAGATATGTTCAAGCTATGCTCAGACGATCTCAAGCTCTGCTCAAATTATTATCAAGATAGGTATGTTTATCTCGAGCCATGCTCAAGTTATCTCAATTTGTGCTCAAGCTGTGGTAATTCCATCTCAAGATATGCACAAGCTTTCTCAGGCTATGCTCAAGATATCTCGATCTATGCTCAAGCGATACCCAGACTATGCTCAAGATATGTTCAAGCTATGCTCAGACGATCTCAATCTATGCTCAAATTATGATCAAGCTATGCTGAAGCTAGGTAGGTTTAAGCTATCTCGAGCCATGCTCAGGCTATCTCAAGCTATTATCAAGATATGTCAAGCTATGCTCAGGCGATCTCAAGCTATGCTCAAATTATGATCAAGCTATGTTTAAGCTAGGCATGCTTAAGTTACCTCAAACCATGCTCAAGCTATCTCAAGTTGTGCTCAAGCTATGATCATTCCATTTCAAGCTTTCTCAAGCTATGCTCAAACCGACTCAATATATGTTCAAGCTATGCTTAGACGATCTCAAGCTATGCTCAAATTATGATCACGCTATGGTCAAGCTAGATGTCCTTAAGTTATCTCGAGCCATGCTCAAGCTATGATCATTCCATTTCAAGCAGTGCACAAGCTTTCTCAAGCTATGCTCAAACTATCTCAAGCTATGCTCAAGATATGTTCAAACTATGCTCAGGGGGTCTCAAGCTATGCTCAAATTATGATCACGCTATGCTCAAGCTAGGTGTGCTTAAGTTATCTCGAGCCATGCTCAAGATGTCTCAAGTTGTGCTCAAGCTATGATCATTCCATTTCAAGCTTTCTCAAGCGATACTCAAGATATGTTCAAACGATCTCAAGCTATGCTCGTGTTATGATCAAGCTGTGCTATATTGTGCTATAAAAACCTTACATTTTTCCTGTCGAATGATTTCGTCCAGTTTTCTTTCTTGATTATCGTAGGAACGAGAACCGCTTGAAAATCATCCTCATTCCCTACATAAAGTGAAACCTTTACTGCTGAATGAATGATGTTATAGTAATCTGACGGTTGTAAAGTTGGGCCTAAAATTGTCGCTATCTTACATGTGCCATCATTGCAACACAAAAATCCTCCGCAATCCGTGTCTTGTGTTGGTTGCTTTTGCATACCTTCTTGCAAAACTTTCGACGCAGCTGTCAAAATCATCATTATCACCCTTTGCTGTCTCATGCTCAATACCTGGAAAAATCAAATCGAATAATAATATTAATACCAATAATAATGTTTATTTGCAACATAAAGCTTAGGTAAATAGTACATTGCAGCAAAATACAAGGTTGGAGGTATAAAATAATATTTAAAATCAGGGGACCTAAAATGGAGCCGTTATCTGTTTCTACCTATTGGACTCTGTTAGACAAATAGTGACACATCTATCTAAAATACAGGAGTTTATTATATTAGTAATGTAAGGAATGATTTTATGCTGACACAATAAGATCATTCAAAGATATATTCCATCGACACCCATGTCAGGCGATTTAAATCTGAAAAGTGAACTCTTAACATCCTTAGACACTGTGTGAAATAAACTTTCGAAAATAGCGTTTGTGGAATTACAGCACAAAGTATTTTGCCGCTCGTGAAATATGATTGAAAAAGTTGTCATCTCATACCGTACACCTGGAAGAAGATTTTCTACGACTGCCGAAAAATAGTTGCTTTGTGAATCAAAAGCGCAAAGTATTTTGCCGCTTGACGAATCTGTGCTTTGGGGCCGCGGTGCCCCGGCATTTAGGCTGGTTCGGTATAAAAAATATGTGTTTAATGCTGATGACAAAATATATAATATCTAGGAAAATGATGTCAAGTATTCTTTCTGAATTGTACGAGCGCAAAGTACTTTGGCGCTCGATAACCACGATTGACGCACCTTGAGTAGCAATGTCCAGTTTGGTTGGGGCTGTGCTAGCAATACGATCAGTTCCAAAGCAATAGCTACTCTTGGTTCTAGATTGGATGTACTTGGTGAATTCATAGTTTGACTTTTGAAAATGTGTGGCAAAGCAAAGATTATCCAGGAACACGGTCCAGTAGTCCTAGGTTTGAACATTTCTATGTTGTCGGAATTTTTTTTGAAGACCTAGAAACATTACAAGTCGCGACCAAAAATGAAACATCATACATAGGAAAGTATTTTAAGGGGGTCTTCTATGTAACATTTTCCCCCGAGGGCTTTATTGAGAAGATACAACTATATTAGGATATGTATATTTAGGAAAAAGTGCACTCTAGGAAAAATTAAGAGTAATTTTTTGTAGCAAATTGAAGGTAAAATTCGGAAAAAAAACAGTGGCGTACTATTTTTATTTGGAAAAATAAGGCCACTAATCACTTTGTATCTCCACCACAGGTGCACATTAATTTTAAGATTTTTGAATGTGGAAAATACTTAGGCAAATCCATATACCAAATTTTTGTTCAATCCAGTCGACGGTTTTGAAGATATTAAACAAAAATTGTTTTGTATATTCAAACTTCAACACCCCGTATCTTTTTAGAAGACATGCCTTAAAATGCGGTCCTGTGTACGATGTTTCATTTTTTGGTCACGACTTGTGAGTCTACTTAATAGTAATATCTGTAATAAATTATCTAATATTTGAAAAAACTTGTAGAAATGCATGACTATTTTCGACAAACATTTTTTGAAAAACTTCATACTTCCTCATATTTTTAACCACAAGCTATGCAGCCCACGCCCATATATCATTTAAAAGCGAAGCCCGCCTTTTCGAAAACGACAATCTAATCATATTGGATATTCGTTGACCATCAATCCATTCCAACACGTCATCCTGTTAGCTTTGCTCTTTATGATAAAAGTATTATACCCGTTTTACGTTCAGAGGAACGAACCAATGCATGGCCTACTATAGTGTATTTACACCCAAGATAGAATGGATGCGTGATTTCCAAAAGCAAGGAAGGCGTACAGGGCCGCATTCAGGGCTACCTCCGAATGATGGACTACCACCAACGTGTTGTAAAACAAAGATGACAGTATGAAACAGAAACTTAACAAATTACTCAAATACACTTAACAACAACAACCAAGCAAGGTGAATACGAAAACACGAGCACGCAGTGATACACGCGACGGACGGTGGCCTGAGTGCAACTCTGCCTGCCCTGCCCCTGCCCCGCGCATTATTCCGCCAGGCGACCGCTTGAAATTTAATCATTTCAATCAATTTCATCAATATCGGTATTTCAAAAGTTTCCAAGTAAAAGCGTGTCGAAAATAGCCGCATCCTCAATTTTACGACTTTCGGCGTTGAGACGATTTTTACCTTACTGAGATCATCCAAAGAACAAGATCTTAGCAGCATAAACGTATACAACTCCTGACATTTCATATGAATATCTCTGAATATCTTACTGGACGAATGTTGAGATATTCCGATCAAATCTTTACCGGAATCGCATATGGCTGGCAACAGTTGCGCGACACATAGCAACAAGTTGAATATGTCGACGACAACTAGTCGACTTCTAGCGTCTGATGGACAACTCTAAAATAAGTATTAACAATGTAATGTGCGCCCGTTTTTAAATTCTGGCACCGAAAAGGAAGGCAGCAGAACACATCGCACGCCTTTGGCGTACCCGGGGGGGCAAGAGGGGGAGGCAGTACATTGTTCATGTACATGGTTCTCCACAAACTGAATCAGTATATGTATTAGTTATTGATATTTTATGAAATGAATGACTGTACGATAACAAAAACAGTTTATTTTTAAATACTATCTTAAATAAACTCAGAAATACATTGTATGTATTTTGAGAAGGATTCTCGAATCATCGTGGAAGACTCTGTATCAAAGGATAAGACACTGAAATCCAAACAGAAGGACAAATATCAAGCATAGATATAATTTAAGAAATTTCCATCAAACATTTTTTGAACCTGCCCCCATTCTGTTTTGAGCTGGATACGTCCTTGTTGCACGCACATGCCACCGAAAATGCCGCCTTTGTTAGTTCAAAGAGATGCCGCGTTAGCATAGGCGTGCGATATGTGTTTTACTGCTATCTTCCTTTTCGGTCCCGAGTATAGAGTACTTGCAGTTTTTAGTTACCTGTGTGTATCGTACTGTTAAAATGGTCAATGATTCATTTAGCATTCCAGAAAATACTCGTTGCGCCATTTTTGGTGGTACAGTGTTCCAAAGATCCTCCTTGGTGCCTGGTATGGAAAAAAATATACCCCAACACTCTTAACCCTCTTGAAATCTTAAATTCTTACCTTGCATGAAGGTCCACCACATCTGAATAGTGTAAGACCCTCTTTCACATTCAAAAAACGGTTTGTGGCATTCCCAATCCAAACACTCTGCGTCTTGTAGTATGTAAAGTGAAATTAATCTGCAATAAAGATCTAGCAGTCGTTCCGCCAGCGCTTCGCACATTTCGTTGTATCTTTTGGAGCTTTTCTGGACTTCGGCGAGGGAATACGAGCTTGATTCTGTCGTTTGTATGTAAAACCAGAGGTAGTTTTTCAAGAGAGCCGCTGCTCCGATGGTGCCAGTCAAAACGGAGAGGTCTGCATGATCTAGAGCTTCTTGAGTTAAAATGTGCAGGTGGTCTGAGGAAATAATGGGTATTTGAATGCATTTTTTTGAAAGCATTAACAATAAAAAGAATAAATTGTGTCGTATTATCTTTGTTATCAAACAAAAAAAGATAGTCAGGATATTTATGAGAGTCGAGAGAGTCAAGGAACTAGAGAATCAAGCGCATTTTTTTCGTGAGGTAAAAGGACCACACAGCGTAAAGGTAAATTCTGAGGTTTCCATACCTAAAAATTCCTCGGAAGACTTGCTTACTAGCGACATAAATTTCGGTGGATCAGAATTTTTTACAATTTCGTCTTCCGTAGAATCAGAATCTTCAGAGCTCGTTTCCTTTTTTGTGGTCTGGAAAAATCCAGATGGTTGCTTATACGCCGCGATGTATTCATCTTCCCACCATTGAACCAATTTTATAGAAGCAAATGAAGCTGATCTTGGGAAATCCAGTTTCCCGCCCATTACGCCTGGACAGACCGTTTGCTGGAGAATTGCCTGCTTGCTCTGGAATTTATGAAAAAAAATATGGTCGGCGCTACCCATCATGAGGAAATGCATCGTAAAGTACATTGGATTGACGAGAGGTTTTATTGGGATAATTGGTTGCTAAGGGTTTTTCAAATCCACGAAATCCAGGAAAACAAATAGCAGAAACTTTTATACTTTGTACATAAGAAACCCAACTTACTTGATAATATTCCATGTCCCTTTTTATCAGGATACCTAGCTTGTCCATCAAGTTTCCATCTTCCATTACCTCCATCTTTGCTGATATACAAACAATCCTATTTTTATGCAAAAATGTTTATAGACCAACAAACGGTTGAAAGCGACATGAAGGAAACCGCGATCTTTTATTGATCAAGCAAACCCTTGTAACTATGGATGCAAATTCATTGAATCATCTTACACAAATAGTCCAAGAATTTTTGCATCTGTTCGAGAAAATATTCTGATTTTGTTTTTTCCATAATCTAATTCACGAAATTGTCAAAAATTTCCTGTTTATATATTACCCATGTTCCTCAAGCCAGCCCTGTTATTATTAACACGGAGATGTCGCGCGCTCTAGTGGACCGTAAGACGCTGCGCCGTGGTGACGATGGCAATAACTGAAGTAGTCGTTCTATTGCCCAGTAGAGGGCGCTTGAGCTCCGTTTTACCTAAGCTAATTAAGCAAACTTATTAAATATATTTAAACTGTTTTACTTCCAGCAGATAAACTTATTTTAATAGTTCATGAATTTTAAATAAATTGGTAAGTAAGCGGTTTAATAAACTTAATTAAACGACTGCGTTTTGGTTTTCTGAAACTAGTTTCCTAGATTCAAGTAAACTGTTTTAGAAATCGGAGTTTAATTAAACTCATTAAGCTTATTAGCTGTCACATAGTTAATTACATCTTTTAATTGAGGGGTCTAATGCATAAACCGACCACGTCCATTTTTTGGGCAAAATGAGCTGGGTTTATTCTCACACAGTTTTGTTTGGATTCTGAACCTTCCAGTGCGTAATCCAGCTCTGTAACATTTAAATTGTGGAAACTGACGTGATAATTGGTTGCCTATGCACGACAAAATATATGTGCCCCAACAGTACCTACTCAAAGATTATTGAGAATTCAAACAACAGTCGTCCATGTAACGCAGGATATATTTTTAAATTTCAAGTCCCACTTGCAAGAGTTGTTTGTCAAGAATCATTCAGAAGAACAATAGACTTATAATTTCAAAATATCGACTCATGCGCTATGAAAAACTAGATAATGAAATATTTAAATAAGAGATAAAAGGAATTTGCAGCCCCTAACATTTTTAACGCCAAAGTTTGTTTTATTTAAATTCCATCCCTTAAAAAATCAAAGTCGAAGTCCATTAAATCTTTACCTCATAACTCATTTATTTTTTTTATTTTCAAATTGATATATTTAAAAAATAATGCAGCAGAATTATCTGCAATTGACAACAAATACGAAAATTTTCAGTAACTAAAAAATTTACATAAAAAACGTTTCCTCGGCATTTTTCCTCATGTGACTTGACTAGTTTATGCATTGGACCTAATTACAATTTTGATTGGTTCAATTTTTTATCAGCGCTGTTTTCGAAAACCCTGAACATGTCGATATGAATCGCCCAGGAATGGGTACTGAAACATTGAAGGCATATTGTTCACTCTTTATTAATAAAAACAATATAATGGGATGAATTTTCATCGGTTTTTGCTGACCAATCCGGCAGGTCCTCTCGCCAATCCACACTGTCCGTCTGGAACGATCTTCAACGGTGTGAAACCAAGATCTTCTTGTGGGATGCCGTATTGGGCCAGCTTCTCTTGGAACGTTTCCAGAAGGTCATCGTGCGCCTTGCAAACTCGAGCCAGGTCGTATTGCAGGTCGCTTATGGTGGCGTTTTTCTTCGAAAGTATTTCCTGAAATGAAATTGGAATTGTAAATATTAAAATGCTAAAATACTATGGCAAAATGTGTGCCCTACACCATCGATGTTTCAGTATGCAGTTTTTACCTCTAACTTCTTGTTGCTCTGAGACGGCGCCCCAGACAGGGCCGCATTCAGCTGTCCTATAACGACATCTCTATGTTCAGCAACTTGACTCAATGTCTGTATGCGTTTCTGCAAGAGTACATTTTTTGCTCCAGTTTTTTGCTGGACTTCGATCACAGCTTTCACAAACCTGTCGTGTAGGACATCTCTTTCTTCTTGTATCTAAGGGTTCGATGGAGATAATATTTAGAATATTGCCGGAAAAATGTAAGGGTTGAATACTCGAGAGTTTTTTCTTGTCATACTAGCTCAGCCCTGAAACTCATCTTAGCATTGCAATCCATTTTCGATAAATAAAGTGAAATATCAAAGACAGACGGGCTTAAGGAATCGAACCTTATTTGCAGTTCTATATTCATATGAAATTTCGAATATTTCAAAGTGGTGAAACAGCACTTCAATTTCCTGAAAACACTCTGTAACAGCCCGTATAGTAAAAAATTGACTAGTTTGATTGTAAGTTAAATGCAGTGACACAGTATTCAGATGGATAATAGGTTAATACAAAAAATATAGATGGGTCACACTACGTTAGTGGCACTGAAAAGCAAAGCAAATAGGGCCAGAATTCGATGGTTTGTAAGCCAATGTGTCTGAGTCTAGTAAAATCTCAATAAATGTTAGTCTTACAGAAGCAAATTGCAGTTCAAGAGAATCGTGTGCCCAACGAAGATCATCGAGTTCTTTATTTCTCTGCTGAAGAAGTGCTTTGGTATTCTGAAAAATAACCGGAAATGTAAAATACAATCGACTTATGAAAAATTCTACTCATTACCGCGAGTGAAATCTTATCCTTCTCATAATTCTGTAACTGTCTTTTATACTCCGCCACGTCGTCTAAGGCTTGCTTGAGCGGTATGGTGAGTTTTTTGTTCTCCTGAGTCAAATCGAAGCATTGCTTGGTCATCCTTTCGTTCTGTTTCCTGAGCACTTCCATCTGATCTTTCAAGGTGCTGATCAACGCCAGGTTGTTCAGGGTTATGTCGTTGTAATAATTTCGCATCTCGTTGAATGCTCGCTCGTGGTGTTTTATCAGCTGGTCGATATGTTGGTTTTTTCTTTCTTCCACCTCAGATATTTCCATGCTGCAACGGTGGTGAAAAAAGATGAGATTGGCTCTAGTCCATCGCTCTTCATTCGTGGGACAAATTTTCTCTCAATTTTATTCACAACCTTGTTTGTTGGTGTGTCTTAATATGATCAAGGGGTTTTTTAACAAATTACATAAAAATTTATATTTATGTCTTCCATTCTGAACATTACGATTCGGTAACTTTACTGTAATGTTGACCGTTTTATGAAGCTTGATAAAAACCCTAAGAATGGCCATTTCCAATGCTTAAAAACTGTTAAAACTCTTATTCTTGTGGTTGTTATGCATATAAATTAAAGTTCGAACCTTTCTCTACGCGGGCGCGGTGATGATTTCCCGTAATTCTCCTCAGTTTTTCGTAGTTTATAACTTTGAACATAACCTTTCTTCAGAAAGCACAACATAAAAATAACCCGTCGGGCACAGCCAATAGATATACTTCATTGATTTTGTCACACAGCAAATATGACTGATTTTATACACATGCAGACCAATACACATAATCATCCAGATGCGATCTTGCTATTCAACCAACTTTCTTCTCAAATATAAAAACTACAGACAAGGACCATTTAGCCTCACAAAACATATGCAACCAACAATGCGTGCAGATGAGCCATTCCTCCATAGATGGACGTTCACAACGATTCTAGTGAGCAAACGTGGAATGACTGTTTGCGCCCTAGCTTGCAAGATGACATCTCATAGGTTTTTTTTTGACGTTTTATAGGTTTTATACATGATACCCATGCGGATCACCGATCATTTTTATATCAAGCTTGCATTGCTGCTGAAGGAAAGCAGTTTGAACACTTATTGCGAATTCAATAAATACATTCACGAATTAATAAAAGTGACGATCTGTCTTCCTGTCACTACGTAGAATGTCCGTCAATCCGTCTAAGAAAAAAATAAAATTTGTAGCAATGGGAACTAAAAGATCATCACAAATCACTACATTTTTTCCAAAGCCAATAATTTGAAAAGTAACGACTTGGATTTTTTTATATTCTTCTGATAACTATCATGACTTGGCCTTTTGCGGTTTGACGTTGTCTTCTGCGTCACCCGTTGCATACGAAAGATACCTACTACATCATATAACGATGAAATCAGTTACTTACTCATGTTTTGCATTGAGTTCTGTCCTCAATTCGTTGAACTTTTTCTCATACTTGATTTCCATTTCTTTTGCTTTCGTGTCAAACTCGTTCTTGACTTTCGTCAGCGATTCGCTATGTTGCTAAAACATGTGTTAGCATTGTGCGTGAACGTGGCTTAATTTCGGTGATTTCGCGTTGGATTTCCTTCTTCAATCTACGAACATCTGATGTCTTTCTCAGATTAATTTATACAATACTGATGTGGATCAGACGTATAAATTCGAGAAGACTGTGCCACGTGTGAATAATGCCCCACGTTTCAGTGATCAGAATTGACCCCTAGAATTCTGCGTGGTCTTCATTTTCTGCTCAAACTGGATTGATCGATGTGGAGGACGTGTGGTTTCACGTGCCATATCCAACAATTCAATTGCTGCTATATCTCTACAGTATAATTTCTTCTTTAGTAATTACAGTTGTTCTTATTGTGGTTTTTCTTTTTTTTGTGTTGTTTGAACTCAAGTGGCTATACTAATACGCCCAGAAACTTTCGTGGATTGAAGAAAGAAATTCAACACTGCCTCATCGAAATTCAGACACAGACTGTGCACTTTTTTCAGTTTTTTTGTTATTAGAGTCTATAAAATATTGCGTGAATTTTGGACCAGCCTTTATAAGTGGTGACTATACCAAATATCAACCAAAATACCATTTTTAAAGACTTGACTTGATCTTGGTGAGACAATTCTTGTTCTCTGGCATGCGCTTTCAAGTTTTTCTTATCTCTCAACAATTCCCGTTCTTGTTGAGAATGTTCATCCTGAGCATTCTTCAGGGACACGAGAGCTTCCGCTTTGGCTTCAGTCAAGTTGTTTTGATGTTCGAATTGCAGATGCTTCACTTTTTGTTTGTAGAATTTCAATTCTTCGTCGTTTTTTTCCGTGGATTCTTCTATCTCTCTGTCTTTGTTTCTGAATAAAAACAACAAAATGTTAGTTAGAAAGATCAGAAAAAAGTTCTCGTCGCTTGTGGGATCCCCGCGCTGTGCAATGAGATATTTTCCAAGAATTCTATTTGGCAAAAAAATACCTTACCTTAATTTTGCTTTACATTCTTCTAGTTCGTTTCTAGTAATCTCCCAGAAGGTTCTGATTTTATCTCTTTCCATTTGAAAGAAATTCCGCTCTTCGCGTTCTCTTTCATTTTCTTCCTTTATCCTCAAACAGAACGCTTCGAGCTGCTCTCTTGTCATAGACGTGGTATCCACTCCATCGATTATGTTTCCTGTAAAGTGACTTTTTTGTCTAATTTCTCACATTTAATGCCTGCAGTCCGCAAAAGTTTCATTTGAATTTCAAAATTTGGAATCACAAGGACCCAGTATTTCTCACGATATCTCATAGCATAGGGGAAAACCAAAATACTATCCTTGACGATGCCTAGCAAGGAGTGAAGCACTTGCCTTTGATTGTAGTGCAAATTGCAAATCGTTTATTACAAATGTGTTATTATCTAATAAAAATAACGTACCCCCTCCTCCTTTGCCACTCTTTTTCTTTGGAGGCTGAAAATTAACAGATTTTTTATTTTTATATTCATAGAGCAGTTTTGGATTACATACCATTTTGATGAGTGTTTTCTTCAAGAGCAGAGATCAAATGAATTGGGTAAATTTGTCAAATATGACAAGAAACTGAAAGCTACCCTAACCGTTGAAAAAATTTCTAAAAATCGATTAAATTGCGGTTGCTATGACATCATGCAATTTAGTCTCGAGCCGACCCTGTTCTTTTCAACACGGGAGAATGTCTCATAAACTACTAGGGACATCTATTGACTAGTAGAGGTTACTATGGTACGCAGTATCTGTGGATTTGACATTTGTCATTTGCCACTGTCTCGATTGTCACCAAATCCACAATCGAAAACAAAAATCGCTTCATCAAGGAAAATTTTGAAAATAGAAAGATGTGGGCTGATACATTACTTATTGTGTTCATTTCAATCTGCACAGCTTTGCTTGGAGAAGGATTAACGTGGTTGATGGTGTACCGTACAGAAAAATATCAAAAATTGAAAGCGGAAGTGGAGAAACAGAGCAAGAAATGTAATGTTTTCTGAAACAAAATTTTGAATGCTTATTTTGGGCTTTCTACTTTGTTTTATGTATTCAAAAATATCGATTTTTATTCCTCTGAAGCATTTTTGAGCCTGGTTGTTGTTTCTAGACAAAAAGGGCAGAAGGTGTAAAATATTCGGTTTTTTCTTTTTTGCAGTGGAAAAACGTAAGGAAACCCACGGAGATTCCTTAGATAAACAACATAAAAAGAAAATAGAACGAGAAGAGGAGAGGTTGAAAAACAATAATAGAGATCTGTCTTTTGTAAAAATGAAGTCGATGTTTGCTATTGGTTTTGCATTTACAGCGTTATTGAGCATGTTCAATAGCATGTGAGTCTTTCAGTAAGATTTTAAAACACCAAAAATGATTACCTTACCATTTTATTCCTCATATCTAGTCCCAAGAGACTTCACGATTTTTTAATCGTACAAGCCAAATTACCTCATTGTACCAAGTAAATGATTTTTGAAAAAAGTTGTACTCTATAAATCTTTCTAGTACACATAAGCTTTTTTTTCAGCTTCGACGGAAGAGTTGTCGCAAGGCTACCATTCTTGCCTTTAACGTGGATACAAGGACTGAGCCACAGAAACTTACCTGGCGAAGATTACTATGACTGTTCCTTTATATTTCTGTATATCTTGTGCACAATGTCAATTAGGCAAAATATCCAGAAACTGCTAGGGTTTGCTCCGTCAAGAGCTGCTTCTAAACAAGGGAACAGTTTATTCGGACCAACTCCAGGACAATTTAAATGAAGGGTAGTCAAGTTTCTTGTATAGGCAATTTTTTAATGGTAGTAAATTTACTATCATCCTTTTTGATAAGAGCAAAGTCTGGTATAGTGCAAGTCTGTACCATGCAAAATGTGAAGAATGTTAATAAAATGTAAAAATTACTCTGCATTTTTATTTTATAGCCATGTCCAAGAATCTGAATTATTTTCAATAATGCATCAGTGTTGCAAAATTCACTTTTTTGAAATAACCAAAAATAGCCGTTTTTTCCTTGTGGCAATAATGAAATTTGAAACGACATGATCTGCTTTTAAATAAACGTATTTATATTAGATATTTCAGTTATTTTCTTCAGCAACTTTATACAATGTATAATTTGACTCTAGAAATTGAAAATGTCAATTGATTAAAATCATCACAACCCTTTAACAAAGAAAATACGTATTTTTAACAAATATTTTATTTTACCAAGTTCTACAACTTAAGCTTTAAGTGCGTATTTCCTGGGCGGGAACGCGGACCGTTTGCGGATCTCTTTCACTGTTTTGATCTTCTGTTCATGGGAAGACAGGGCGCGTCTGATAGCACGGGTCTTCTTTGGCCTCAGATCCAATGGCTTGTATTTCTTGTTTTTGTACAGCTTCCTAAGGTTCTCCTTTTGCTTTTGGTGCATTACAATGTACACACGGGCAATAGCTTTGCGGACCACTCGGCTGGAACGTTTTGAAATGAGTACATGATGGTTTTGGAAGTGCAGAACTACTCACATTTTGGACAGTTTAGAAGGTGCTCCTCCAGTCACTTTTGCCACCCGAAGGCTCGTCAACTCTGTTTTGAGCTCCTCGAGCTGTTTGGTCAGCTCCCTTTTGTCCTTGGTTCGCAATTCGGAGCATTTTACTTTGCCCTAAAATAAAAACATCAGCTTCAAATACATAACCAAAAATCGGTGTTTAAAATCCCTCTCAACAGTTCATGGCGAAAAATTGCGACAAACATTGACAGAGACGGTACGAACATTACATTTTTATTCAAAAGTTTGACGTGATTGTTTGATTTTTCCTGGATATTTCGGGAAATAAAGAAACTTACCATTTTTGCTTTCGAAAAGCACTAAAAAGGAAAATAGAAGGAAACTTCAACTGTCAATGTCAACGTTATTATCTGTCAAGCACAGAAAGCGGAGAAAGAACATTACAAAACAATCACAGTTGAGGCCGCACCTCTTTTCCACAATCAGAAAATAGGCGTGGTCTTGAAACCACGCCTTATTTTCACTATAAATTTTTTGAAAAGAAGGCGTGGTTATGTTATATCAACAAAACCACGTCCTATTTTGCTAGTCAATAGTGAACTATGGGCGTGGTTTCAAGATGGCGGAAGAGAAATATTAGAGCGAAACCACGCCACTACTAGTATTCGGTCTATGTATCAATTGAATTGTCGGTTGTCAGTAATGCCAAAAGTTTGTCTTTTTTTGCAAAAAAAAAATCACTCAAACATCAAATCTAGCTCTGCGCGCACCGCTTGCAAATACCTTCCGCAAAAACTTGTGCAATATAGAACATCTAACGCGGGCAGACCACTTCAGAGAAAGGTATGGATGGCATTTTTCAGTGATATTGCATGTATAACATTGACCTAGATTCCTTTGGTGTCAAATACAGCTTCGAAAGTCCTGATTTCCGTTATGTAATTTTCAAGAGTAGCTAGCCTTCCATCAATTTACTATCGATTTTCCTTTTAACAATAATATGATACTTGTATTTCTCATTTAAAATAATAATTATTATATATTACATAACGCATTTTGGAAAGGAGTCCTGACATTTTAACCATAACCACGGCCAAATATTTTGCTAGTGTAAAATTAGTCACAGCTGAGCACATGATTCGAAATCGTCACCGCTGCCAAACAAAAAATTGTTGGAATCCATTTTCGTGTTGTTTACTTTGTAGACTCGAAAATACAAAATTTGCTGACCTTAACCTAGACCTGCAAGCCTAAAGTAAAAGTAGGTCTTTAGGTGAGAAATATTAAGAATCATTTAGCCTATTTGTGCTCGGAATTTCAAGTTGTTTTTCACTTTGATCAAACTCATTCGTTTTTTGAACAAACAAATTCTAGAACTATGTGGAATATTGTAGATGTTACATGATAGATTTCTACCAGTAAGTAGTATGCTAAACAAACATTTCACTTTCTTAGCATACACAACACACTGTGATAACAGCTCATATTTCTCTTTATTTTTATGTGATTGCACTGTAGATCTCTAGATAGGAAATAACTATAAAAACGCTGTACAAAGGTCACTGCAACTAGGTAAATAAATTAATGATAGTTATAATTAAGTTATAATTTAATATGCTAACTGAGGTAGCTGAACGTCAATTTCTAGAGCTTTGCTTCATTTTATTTTAAAATTTGGCTGGAGTTAGGTACACAGTTTGTTTAAAAACATCGTTCTCTTGATTTCTATAAATAATGCTACATATGGATGAATATACAGTATTTGGGTTTTCAGTGTCAAATAAGAAAAATAGCTTATTTTGTTTTCTTATTTATTGAGTCACAAGACATGTGATACATATTTGACAGGTTCAGGAAATATTTCGATTTTTACAGTTTTTATAGGTGCCTGGGGAAAGTGTATGGCCAGGGGGGTAACAAGTTGACTTCATAGTTTAAAGATACTGTAAACATGATATAAATACAGACTTGGAAATTTTTTTTTCCACTTGCCATTGGAAAAGGACCCTTCGACATTTCATTTACTTATATATTTTTATGAATTTTATGATCCTTAAATGTACCTCCTATTTCGCCTAACCTTTAATGTGTCTATGATGGTTCTCGGAATATTTTTTCGTCAAGTAGATTGACTCAGTAGTTATGACGTATAGATATACGACGGACACGGGCTTGTGTGATGCCGATATTTTCAAGCAACAGAAGACTTGTGAACCGATGTTTGAATATTATCGCGAGCTTAATACTTCCATCGTTCAGGAGGTCGTAGTTTTTGAAAACTGATTCAGAAGCTGCGGAAATAAAATTGCTGGAACATAGTGTTTCAAAGATTCCTTCTCAATTTCAGACATTGTTTGGAGGGGTTGAAAATTGTAGGTTGGAAGCTGTTTAAGTTAAATGGTTGTGAATTGTTGCATATTTCGATTACTGTACCACAGATAAGAGGGTAGACACTATGAGAAGGATACAGTATGTAGGATGAGACCCCTATTTCCAATTTCTTCTTCGCAGTTAACATCGAAGAATGCACAGAGCAAAGGTGATAGCGAGCACTTTAGTGAGTCCTGCCGGACAAAAGCTAGCAGCATGGTTGGTGATACGGAACGCGCCTGTTGTGCTCAGCTGCCCCCAATGCAGGCACTACAACGTTCCGGCCGCTACAGAACCGTTCCTGAATGGCAGTTCCGGACAGTATGTCGAAGATATGTACAACGCATGGTTAGCTGACCCATCTAGTGTACACGCGGTAAGTTTGGTTGTTAAGATATTTATTTAGTATCCTCCAGGGCTCGAAAAAATCATGATTTTTATATAAATATCATATCACATATGTATATGTTTACAGTGAAAAATCTCCTTTGTTCGGACACCACTGGGAACAACTTGAAGTGTCCGTTCAAGAGGGGTGTCCGTATGAAAGAAATATTACAAAAATCGTGTTTTTAATGGAAACTGAACGTATTAAAGAAACTGTTTTATTTAAAACTTATATGTATATAAATGCTTTTAAAATAAACACAAAACTTTAAACTTAAGAAAAGAAAGATATATACAAAGTACGAGCACCTTCCCACTTCAGTTGGCCCACTTCAAGATTTGTACCAAAATATGCCTTTATAAACTAAACATGACGAAACTATTTACTTCTAAAACAATTTATTTTCTCAACAACATTTTAGATACAATCTAGTCGTAAAAAATACGTATTTGAAATCACTTAGACCTATAACTAATAGAACATCTGAACAAATAAAGAATGTGCGAATAAATGCGCCTTAGTTAACAAAGCAACAATTGAAAGATTACCATTGGGTAACATCACCTTTATTTTTTATTACGGCTGAAATTATTTGGGGCATAGTGTTAACCAAGTTTTGGCAAAAATTTGGTGTAAAACAATCCCATATTTCCTGAAGCTTTTGTCTCAGTTCGGTGGTTGTACAAGCAGGATGTTGCCGTAGAACCTTTTTCCACAAAATTTCAATAGGTGACAGATCTGGACTTCTAGAAACCCATTTCAAAAGTGGTACATTATTTTCTTCCATCCAGCCTTTTTTAAGATATGGCACGCTGCACCATCTTGCTGAAACACAAAATCTTGGCTGGATGTCAAACATTCTTCTATCACTGGTAAAAGCGATTCTTCTAAAATTGCCAAATATTTGTTTGTATCCATATTTCCATCAATAAAATGAAGTTTTCCTACTACTTTTGATGACATACTGCCCCAGACCAACTTCAATAAATTCTGTTTTCTTTGTCCTGTTTACTTTGCGATAGACCCTGTATATGGATTTCAATTTTCAAAAGCACGAAATGGATATATAGGTCCAATTTAAAAAAGTATATTTTTCATTTGTAATACGAAACAGTGAAAACACTATGGTCATACAAATTGTAAACAAAGTAACGTCATCGATAAATAACTAAAGTTGTCTTCTTTCTAAAAGAAAATCGTCATTCGAAAATCTTTTGCCCCGTGCAAACCGCTGTATTAACTCGGCAGGAAACTATTTTGAACAAAATAAATTCGATTTTCTAAAGAGAAAAATGTTTGTTAATTTTTTTTCTTTGTCCTGTTTACTTCGCTACAAACCTCGTATACTCTATGTATCGAAATATATATATATATATATATATATAGGTGAAAAATTAAAGCTTCCTCCTTTTGTTGGGTACTTCGAAAAAATTTAAGCAAAGAGGACTCTTTATACTTTTTTAATTCTCTCTAGCTTTCAATGGACTTTGCCATCATCATCAGAGCTCTCACCATGTTACTGGACGTTTCCCTCATCCTATACGTAAACAACAATTAGCAACATCCTCACATACTACTCTCCTGATGATGATGGCAAAGTCCATTGAAAGCTAGAGAGAATTAAAAAAAGTATAAAGAGTCCTCTTTGCTTAAATCTTGTCGAAGTACCCAACAAAAGGCGGAAGCTTTAATTTTTCATATATATATATATATATATATAATTATATATATCTGGAATTAGGGTTATTAAAGAATAGTCGACTAAACGATTTTTACATATGAGCGATTTTTAATAAATCTATTATACGGTTTCTCAATATTCCGTGAACATAGAAGTACCACGTATTTTTATACTCAAAATAAGTTGATTGGACATTCCTGTATGACACATTTTTAGTTATTTGTGGAACCGATAGTACCCGAACTGCTAGATGAACTTGCCAGCCGCCCGCTGTTCTAATTCGGACGAGTTCTATACATCGAGAACTGGTGGAAAAAACCGCTCTTATCTGCCTCTACTGCGAAAAATCTATGTCTACGGGAAGTAAACAATTTGCCTCAACAACAAGCACAAACTGGATTTTACACCAGATTCAATGATGTGTCATAATTCTTATTTATCATAAAGGCGCTTTTGGTTAATATAATCAACTGTGTGTCTGTACACCAGTACGCAAAATTTAATCACTGATCTCCATTTCTCGATATTATTTACCTTGATTGCGACCTTAACAGAGTAAAAAATCGATACGCTTTATCGTCAGTACAATTATTTTTCTGGCCGTGACTTTTCACTTACAATGTTATCTTATTTGAAACAAGGATTTGTAGGTAGCACTGATTCAGTCGTTGCACTGATCGTATTTAGTTCGCTAGCTAAATAAATCGACAGAAAAATTATAAATTATATACTTTCTGGCTTTTTACTTTCTATGCAACTGGAAGTATTCTAATTGCGAAAATTTGGAAAATGAGATATGGTTTTTGGATTTTATGCCATCTTCATCGCGAAAAACATGTCATTATCTCATAATCTCTGTCCCATGTATAAGGTTGTTACTATGCCAAGGACGAAAAAGCTTTTTAGTTTTTGCAAACTTTTTTTCAGAGGATTTAAATTGCGTTGAACTTAATCTTGTCTGAACTTGATTACGTTGCGTAGGAATTGCAGAGTCATCCTACTTGACGCCATTTTGATATCAGTGGAGTGCGTGACGTTTTTGTACAAATTTTATTTTTTAATAGTCACCTGCACAGAATTGTCATTATGTACTACAGTGGACCTCCGGTAATCCGACAAACATTATGCAGGGCAGTGTCGGACTATCGAATTTGTCGGATTATAGAGCACTGCCTAAGAGCCCCTATAGTCCGGAATTTTTTACAAAAGAGTACCTTGTAAGATTATATATGTTATGTATGTACTTTGAAGTACAAATCATACATAGTTTATGTATGTCGAATTTAGTAAATTAAATCGCAATAGAGAGCTTACGTTTTATTATAAAATTAAGCATAAATGCACCTAGATATGTACCAAAATAATCAAGAATTATTAATCAAAATCATTAATAAATTTATCAAATTATGAAGCTTGGAAATATTCATCAATTTTTGTTTTGTTTAAGGTTGTTATAACGCGAGATCAGAGCTTTGTCCCCCAGTCTTCTCAAAAGTAAAAGTTCGTTGTAGGATGTACCATTCTCTTTAGCCCATTGTAAACCTGGCTCAAAGGCGTTAATTGCGTCTTGTGCTGTGACTTGTGGAGCAGTTGCAATCACGTCGTCGTTATTTTCCTGATTGTTTGTTGCATAATTAGAAACCTCTTTTATAATCTCTTCGTCAGACATTTCATGAAAAACATTTTCCACTTTATTCATTACACGGCACCAGATTTCCAAATCTTCTGGACTTATCTGTGTTTCAGTAGCGACTTGTTCTATAACTTCCGAAGTAACACTGATTTGTGGTACGTTGCTAGGAGTGGTGACTATATCTGGCCATAACTTTTTCCGAGACGATTTAATAGTTGATGACGGTAACGCATTCCACGACTGACAAAGAGCAAAAACCAAGTCTTTCATATTAAATTCTTTTAAAGTTTTTTCTATTGGTTGGTCTTTTGATAAGGCTCTCAGAAGTAGGTTTTTCTTATAGTCTTGCTTGACAAACTGAATGATATTCTGGTCCATTGGTTGAATCAGTGCAGTGCAATTTGGCGGAAGAAACATCGCAGTGATACATTTATCCTCAGTTGTTAGTTCTTCTTCAGACGGATGACCGGGAGCGTTAACAAGAAGCAACAACGCTTTTTGAGGAAAATTATGATCTTTTAACCATTCTCTAACTTCAGGTACGAAGTATTCATCAAACCACTTTTTGAAAAGGTCTTTTGTCATCCATGCACTTTTTTTGTCCGTAATAGTGTACAGGTAAATCAATGTTTTTGAATGCCCGTGGTTTATTAGATTTCCCAATGACCATCATCTTAAGCGCGTGTGTGCCCGCAGCGTTAGCACATGGTAGTATGGTTACACGCTCTTTACTTACTTTTCGTCCAGGTACGGATTTTTCGTTACAAGAAACGAAAGTTTTGTTAGGCATCACAGGCCAAAAAAGCCCTGATTCGTCTGCATTGTACACCTGTGACGGGTCAAGATTTATATCGTTCACCTTTTGCAAAAATCTTAATTTAAAGGGCTCTATGCAGGTGGCATCGTTAGAAAGTTTCTCTCCTGTAATAGCCATGACGTCTTTTAAAATGTTCTAGCCATCCTTTGCTGGCCACAAAATCATCTTTTTTTGTTATTTCCTTATAAAAAAACTTAGCCTTCATGGCCAACATGGGTCCTGAAATTGGTGCATGCCTATTTATTTCCTGAAGAAACCACATGTACAAAGCTTCTTCCACTTCTGGATATTCAGCTTTATTGAGTGTCCGTCTCTTGCCTGGCCCGCAGTCAGTAGTTGACACGTACTTCTTGATCTTCTCGTGGTTTCTTTTAATGTCATAAATTGTAGATCGGCCTACGCCGTATTCACTTGCTAAACTACTGAAAGTTTCATTGCGATTTAAGCGGTCTAAAATATCACATTTATCTTTAATTGTCAATGTTTTGTGCTTTCGCTTCTGACATTACTAGGTACTATACTTAATACACAATGAATAAATAGTAAACAATGAACGCACGCTAGGCCGTACCGCTATCACCAGTAGTCAAATTCAAACTAAGTAAAACAATGCTTACGCGTCGAGCACGATAGTGGTGACGCGTACAAGTTGCGACCTGTTCAAACCTGCGTGATCTACATTAGCGAAGATTGTCAAATACGTATGTATGTAATACATATTTAAAGACATGTCGGATTACAGGGGGCGCCGGATTAGACAGTGGCCGGATTATCCTGGGTCCACTGTATGTATGATATTTAATGTACTGTATACCTTCTATTTGGTATTATTCCAAATTCGCAATTTCGCCGCAACGGGAAAACAAAATGATACGGATATATCACAAATTATATAAGCCGCAGATAACGATAAATATCTCGTTAAGAAATAGTTTACATTATCTTAGATGATTTCAGTCGTCAACCACTCGCTAATTATGTCTGTCGTTCATGGTGAAATATTCCTTTATTGTTCATTAAGTACTAATAGATAACGTGATAAACATAAATGAACATGAGTGAATGTATGCTATGACCGTCCAGGCAGACACGAGATTATCATTTTTTTAAAAAAGAAATAGATAATATTCGTCTGGAATATTTATAGATATTTTCCCCCAAGTTGTCTGGAACCTCATCGAGATTAGAATCTTCGGAAAGTTCTTGTATTTCGACCGGATTTTCAATTTTTGACGTGAATCTGGATCTTCAACATACAATCATTCATCTATGTTCAAAAAATAATGATCAGTATCAGTCAATTTCAATAAATTCTTATTTTTGAGAATATCTGGAAGTACATTAAGTGGTAAGTTATCTTTTGGGTCAGGTGTATCTCCTTATTTAACTGGTCTTCACTTTGCATATTTTCATGCTTAAATCCTGCTTTTCAGAAGCAATTTTGCACACTAAAGGACACTAAATCTTATACATAAATACTCAGGATAATGAAATATTAAGCATTCCTTTGACTAATCACTAGTAGATAATTATCTTAAGAGGCTTCCAAGATACCTTTTTGTTTATATTTGTTCAATATTGCCCAAACTGCTTTACGCTTCAGCTTCAAATTTTTGCAATGACAACTTGACGTTGACCATCTTTTTATAACTCGATGATCTTAGTTTTCACATCGAAAGGAATGTCTGGACCTCGCGGCATGGTCTTAAAATCGCTCAACTGATGAATACAAACTAATCCTCTTCTGACACGAAACTGTACTAAACCAATGTTGAAAAGAATTTGTCTACATATTTTTGTCCTTCATCAAAAAGTGCTTATATTCAGACTTGTATTGTGTTCATTGCAGATAATGTAAAAACAAGGAATTTAGTTTTTCTACTAATAACGCATTTGTTTATGAAGCAATAAAGTATGAATTCGTTTTCTAAAGGTATTTAGGTAAATATTCATATTTGTCTATATACTTTTGTCCGTTACTGTATATCTTCTTTTTTGTAATGGGGTTGATCCCGTATAAATAAGTAAATAAAAAAGTATACAGTCGACTACCAAACAAACAAATCTATTCGAATACCAGCCAAATGTATTCTGAATAGTATTCGAGTCTGAATAATAATAACGATGTCTTTTTGCAGTCATGGGACTCGTATTTCCGTCAAACGACGCAGGGGGGCGGCGGCTACGTGGCCCCTCCCTCTTTAGCATCGGTCGGGAGGAACGAAATGCCGTTGTCCGCTATAATGCCCCTTGCGGGGGGCACCGCCCTGGGAGCCACCCCTATCAGCGAGAAAATCATCGATGACCATCTGGCCGTGCAAGCTATCATCAGGAGTTATCAGGTACGATGGACGATTTTTAAGCATGATATGTCATCGAATATGTGTTTAATATTTCGGGTTCCAGTAAAATACAAAAAAATGATTCTATAAAACATTTTGATTCCGCCTGAAAATACCCTATTCAAATACAGATTAAAATAGCCACTGTTTTCAAAGTAGATTTTTTAATTTATTTTCGTGTTTTGTATGCCGGAATGCAGTGCATTGTTGTCAATTTTCAGGTGGGATACATGAATCAATGTTTATACGAGGGTTGTTTCAAATATAAGGTCCCCACATTTTTTTTCAGGCACATGGAATTTTTTATTTGAAAAAACGAATTCACCATTGGAAACGTTGATCATTAAGGTATTTTTCTCCATTGGTGAGTTCTCCCCTGCGACGATTTTGGATTGCCCGTCTCAGCTTTTTCAGAATCCAGAATCTCAACCACCTGTTCCCGGATCGTGATTCGCCGATCTTTGAGCAAGATTTACTCAATCTTCGCCGCAACGTCGGCCTCCTACTTCGTTGTCGAAGAAGTCTCTTCACCATTTCAGGACATGTTACACGTTTCCCATATACTTCACTCAAATGGCGATGAACTTCTATTGAGCATAGCTGTCAGGCAGGTACTGAGCATCGCAAATAGGCGCTTATTGTTGGGATCGGTGGTGGGGGAGCCGACAAATACGACGCTGTTACCAGATTTCGCCTAGAGTGTCGCGCTGTAACGCTTCGTTTCCGCAAAAGTCCAGAAAAGATGGAATGCAATGAAGATTCCAACTTTTCTGCACAATCACAGAAAGGGGGTTACGATTAGCTTCCGGTAGCTCAGTCGGTGGCATGAAGACATCTACAGGCGTGTAGCTGTGTGTCGACCATGGCATGGCTAGAGGATAGAAGAACAAACAGAACAAAAAAATTTAACAGATTTTATTTAACAAAAAAGCATTTTCATTACATTTGAAATTGAAATTTTAAAGAACAAAATACGTTTTAAATCTTTGGCGCTGCTATAAAACTATACACTTATCTTTCGCTAAGCTGGTCCATTTTGACTGGACTGAAGCGAGGATGGCCAGGCGCTTGAAGTGGAGGTTCCAGTTATGAGGGGTGACCTCACATTTAGTGGCTTCAAAACCAGTTGTAGGCGAAGTTGAACTTAAAGGCGATAGCGCTGCCAAGGCACATGCATGGGTGAAGTGATAGGCCAAGCTATGCAAAGTCAAAGACAAAGGGAAAGGGGGTGGCCCCAATCATTTTGTCCTATTCGGACACACATTCTACAAAATTCTAGCACATGGTGCTATATGACCTCATGCTACAGAGAACAAAATTCTTAGCTCTTGCTAGATCGGCGGCTCAAGTGAAAAAAAAGCGCGAGGAAGATCACAGATCAGGAACTCCGCATCAAGCGCGCTCCAAGCGGAAAATTTTCCAAGTAAAAAAACTAGAGATGGGATTAATGAAATGATAATCGAGAAGTGATTTAATAAATACGAAACCGTTACAGCGCGGTAGAGATTTAAGCGTTGGGAAACTTATTTTTGAGATAACCCTTGTAATAAGCAACTAGTACCTGAATACGGTACTACAGAGAAGCATTGATTCATTTGGTTTATCAGGAACGAGTTGTCCATTATTGAAATGTAACAGTTTTAAAATAGTTGATGCTTAAAATGTTGTGTTAAATTTGAATTGAAACATCAAATTTTTTATCATCGTTTTGGTTTCATCTGAATAACGATGCGTGTTTTTCATATTCTAACTTGGATTTTGATTCATGATACATCGACATTTTGTAGATTTAACACTGAATTCACATCTGCTTGATCATGTGTTATACACGCTATTTCACATACATTTTGAAAAAAAAACCGTATTAAGCTATATCTAACCTTCATTATTGTTTTTGGCATGTTTTTGATAAGGATAGTCGTATTTATTTTGACATAGTTGCATGGTATTATACGGTATCGTAACCCGCCACCATTATTGGTTCAGTGAAATTAGTATGCGACGTAAAAATTATTAATAAAATCCGAAAATCGTAATTAAAAAAGGAAGGGGAAAGGAAATTATTGATTTTCAAAAAAAAAACTTGATGTATTATTATTTGTAAGTCTAATTTTATTGGACTATGAGGGATGTCTTTTAAGTTTTGCATTTGGAAATAAAACAACACGGTAGGTGGTTTTAAATGACTTTATTGTTTTCCGAAGTATTCTCCACGAAGATTGATACACATCCGCATGCGCTCGAAAAAATTTTCGAAGCACTTATTCCACTCCTTTGCTGGCAGATCCAAAACGACATTTTTGAATGCGTCAACTGCTTCTTCTGGTGACTGAAACCTATGACCACGCAGTCTGTTTTTAGTTTTCTGGAAAGTAAAGAAATCGTTAGGACTTACAGTATATTCAGATAAGAGATAGACCGGATGTAAACAAAAGGTTCGGGTGATTTTCACGCTAACGCCGCCGTCTCGACGTAAAACAGGAGCCCTCATTGGTCAATTCGCAATTAAATGCCTATGCCGAGCGGCAGAGTCACATTCAGGTTCAGACGTGTTACGTATGTCGTGTGCATCATTGCAATTTGATATTTCTTTGGACGTTTTCGTTTGTTATCTTATTAAGTTGTTGAGTTTGTCGTTGTTATTGTTATACCTTGTTATTGATTGTTATTGTTATCAACTGCTTGCGCAAAATGCCCAGTAGTACAGATGCCGATGAAGTTGTAAACTCCTGTAGTCCACCTAGGAAACGCTCTAAAAAAAGACACCTGAGTGCAGAAATGAAATAGGTCATTTTGAATATATATAAGATCGAGCGCGAGGAGAACGAGGCATCAACCATCAAAGAAATTGTTGTGAAGGTTTCTCACAAAGTTGGAGTGTGTCGCGCATCAGTGTTTAATGTGTTAAGACAATACAAAAAAAATCACACCTTTTCTGAGCCAATGACCAGTAAACATCGCAAAAGTATTGTTAAATCATTGGATGAAGCTGATAAGCATGCGATTAGGAGGAAAGTGCATGAATTCTTCTTTAGGAATGAAATACCTACTATAGATAAAGTACTGCAGGAGGTAAATGGAGATACAACGTTGCCAAATTTCAAACGATCAACTTTCCATGCGTTACTGAAGCATTTAAATTTCAAATGGAAAAAACGGGGTCGTAATAGTTTACTACTGGATAGAGAAGAAATTGTGCTATAGAGGAGGGATTATTTAACAAAAATTGGGAAATATAGAAATCAAAACAGGAAGATTTATTACCTTGATGAAACGTGGGTAAACGCGGGACACACTACACGTAAAGATGGGTTGATGATTCTGTAACTTCATCCAGGAGGGCCTTTCTAGATGGACTGTTCACCGGATTAAAAAATCCAGCAGGTAAATACGAGTAATAGACAACAATCGGATGTTTTTCAAACCTTGGGAACAAGGTTCTAAACATTAATTCCAGGGGGCAGATAAAACATATTACAAGTAACAAAACTTTTATAACTTTCGATAAAATGCGTCGATGTTTTATTGTTATTTTCATTTGTTAGAACTTTTTTAAGCCATGTTTTTATGTGTTTTCGATATTTCAATAATTTTTTAATATAATCTTAAAATATGTCGAATATTATAAGCTTAAAAAAAGTTACTAAGTTTTATATTGTGTACCGTTCCTAATATTTCTAATCATTTTAATTCATACTTTAAGCTTTATAAAGTTATAATTTGTTAATATTAATATTTGCGCGTATTTCAGGTTCCTGATCATTCATTTTTTAAAGGTTTATAACTTCAAATTAAATTGTGAAGCGCTGAGTAATCATACGACGTTCAATATTCCTTCTTTCAATATGACTAAATAATCCCAATTATAGCAATCTGATACTCATGTCTCAATGTTTTTTCGCTGAATGTGATGAAAACATTTGAAAAAGGTTCGCTTATTGAAATAAATCTACACCAGTTAGTACTTCGATTTCCAGGTAAAGGGAAAAGGCTCATTATCTGCCATATTGGCAGTGAGGATGGATTTGTTGTTGACGGTCTGTGGTGCTTAGAGTCTAAGAAAACTGGAGATTACCACGAGAAAATGAATGGCGAATCGTTTGAACAGTGGTTTTCAAAAATTTTACCGAACTTAGAGGAAAACGCAGTAATTGTGTTGGATAATGCGCCTTATCATTTTCGAAGAATGGAGAAGGTCCCAACAACGGCTTCAAGGAAAGTTGATGTTCAAAATTGGCTCCGCTCGAAAAATATCAACTTTGAAGAAGCAATGCTGAAAGTACAATTATTAAGAATTGTCAAGGATCACAAGGCGGAATATCAAAAATACGCCATTGACGAAATGGCAGCAAGTCAAAATAAAACTGTGCTCCGTTTACCTCCATACCATTGCCAGCTCAATCCCATTGAGCTCATATGGGCAGCGGTTAAAAATTATATAGCTAAGCACAATACAACTTTTAAATTTTGTGACCTCAAAGGACTTTTCAAAGAAGCACTAGAATTAATAACAGCGCAAAAATGGGGAAACTATATTAAGCACGTGAAAGACAAAGTTGAAAAGAGAATGTGGGAACTGGACAATATTTTAGAGGAACAAGTCGAGCCATTCATTATTGACGTTGGTGCTTCAGGCAGTAGCGATGATGAAAGCTCATCAAGCTCATCTTTTCAATAAAAGATGTCGTTCATCAAATTCGGTAAGTTATAAGTAATTATAAAGCTACTGTATTTTTTAATTAATTATTGACATTTTTGAACCCATTTTGGCAAAACCTATTCAAGAATCTACTTTCTGACAATGTTCAACCATGCACATTTTTTTACGTTTTGAACGTTTTAATTTGGTTTCATATTTACCTAGAAATCAAAAAATATACTAATCAATATTCTAAAAGCAATTTTAAGAGATATACGATTATTTTTAATTTAGGCTAATTTAAACGCCATTTTGAGATTATATTCGACTGTATTTCACCAAACATCAGGCGGCATCCGAAGCTGGAAATCGAAGCGAAAATTTTGAAACCCTTATGTGTATTTACATCATTATATATTTCTTACCCCACCCCCACATGATCCTATATCCATCACCAATCGTATACACATCGAATTGTGCTAATTTACTACAAAGTTACGCAAAGCAGCATCTACTATCTAAAATATGTACTGTGTGACTCTTAATAGGTCCCTGCCGAATGTTACAGCGTTCGATGATCACGTGGTCTTGTTTATGTCCGGTCTATCTCTTATCTGAATATACTGTAGATCTCGGGACTATACATTTGTATATATTGTACACATTTTTTGAGTTTCCGGAATTGAAACGGTCAAGCGTTTTTTTGACG